AGTAGTTTAGTAAACATTCATCTATATAAAGAGAACGGACTTCGAATTCTTAGCCGATGTAGCTTGGGTCAATTTGTTGTAGTGAAGGAAACACAATTTCCTGAGATTCTTTCCACAACTCTAAAACACTTGGCCTTAGTTTGTAACTCAAATCAATGAACGAAATATATATATATATATATATATATATATATATATATATATATCTATTATTTAGTATTTTCTTTGTCCTCTGAGTGATTCAACGGTGTGATCTATCTAGAGAATTAAGGAACCATTTGAGGAATTTCAAATTAAGAAGCAAAAGAATAAAAGGCATATAACTATCATTTTCCGAATCATCAATGAAGATGCAGACTTCTGAGACAGCATGCTGATGAAGATCAGACAGCTGGTTGCTTATCATGGAGCTGTTCTAAGAAGTCTTAAAGGACACATCTGTCGTTACAAAACGTGGATGGAAAGTGGAGCAACTAGACATGAAGAGTTTAGGAAAGTAGGAACTGTGGAAATATGTTAAATATTCTCAACAGTGGTTAAGGAAAGTGTTGACCTTGACAAACAAGTTTAATATCCTCTCGAGTACTTTAGGTTTTAGGGTTTTCGCTGTGAGAACTAAATATATAAGAATTTGTGAGTGAGACTCGGCGGTTAACACTCACAGATACAAATACAGGTTAAAAATCTTCAAGGCGAAAAAAAAAATAGCTAAGAAGGTAAGAGTGTGTAAATCTCAAATCTTTCAAGTAAGTTGAAAAAGTTAGAGAGTGAGAAGCTTAGGTTTGTTCGTGAGAGAAAAAGTCTATTAGGGTAGAATAAGACAAGTTTCATCTAGATAGTTAAAATATGTTGTAAAAGATTAAACTATCAATAAGAACAAATACAAGCATTTGATTCGGCGCTTTCCGGATCGTGTTAATTAAGTGTTGTGTACCCCTCTATATCTATCAATCAAGCAGAGTTATTAAGGATACAAATCAGCTGCAAGCCTCATCAAGAACAATAAATCGTACCTGCTGAACAATTCATGGTATCAGTTTTACATAACTGATCGAAATCTGAATCAATTCATGGTTAGACAGAGACGAGTAAGTGAGAACTAACCACTTGAAACCAACACCTCTCATCGCCATGAAACAAACGAGAAATGTCAAAAAGGGAAGTTAAAGAGTAGTTTAGTTGTACTAAAATATTTGTTGTGGTGAAGAGAACCAACTACTCTTGTAGTGAAGAGAACGAACTGTCAATTCATCTATATAAAACGGACTGTCAATTTGTTGCGGGGAAGAAAATTAAAGGGTGGAGAAAACTCCAGGATAAAAAAAAAGATGATTTTTCGTGAATTTTATACTCATTGTTTGGTAGATATTAGTTTGTGTTTGTTTTGGTTGCTGTAAAAGAGTCTGGGCTTTTTCCGGCATCGAGAAAAAATCAGGTTTATTTCTAGCAAATATTAAATATTTTAGGTTTTTTTTTTGGATTTTTCCGTGGTATTTTTGAAAAAAACTAATGATAGTAATTGTAGAACAAAAACTTAGTTTAGTAGTATTTTAATATTTCTCCTTTTTTTTGCTCAGTTTTTTACTCGAAATCTCTACTCGAAATGAACTAATCTAGAAACAATTATCAAGAAATGCCAAAATCAAGGGAAAGAAAAATTACAAATAATCAATTTATATCAACCACCAAACAACTAATTTAAACAGAATTTATTAGCTCCAACTTCTAAGATAACCGAGCCAATTAAGGATTATATATTATTCAAAATCTTATTTCGTTGATCAAGAACAAGAATCAGGAGCTTGTGATCAAATGTAAGGTCATGGATCAACTCTTCACTGTAAAACAAAACACCTTTACAAGAGCCGTTAACTCTAATTACATTTCCAAATTCGTCTCAAGGGTTAATTAATGCTTATACATCAAGAGATTTGGGGTTCGAGTCCTAGATATTGCGATTTATTAATAAATTTGCAGATTAATGGAGGCAAGTGTGCAGGAGATCTCCAGCGATGTACAATTATAGCCAAGTCTAGCAGCAAGCCAATGGTCAACAAACATCAAAAGGCGAAAGATAAACACGGTTGTGGTATCGACCTAAAGAAAACAGAGACAAATACAACAGATTCTTGAGTAGAAAAGAGAAGAACTGAAGGTGCTGGATGATAAGCAAAGGACACCTACCACAAGCCATGTATACAGAGGTTTATAGCAAAGAAGATACTTGTTCCAATTCAGAGCTACATTGGCTCTACAGAACAAAATAAAACATCAAGGAAACATTTGAGGAATTTCGAATGGTGCGATCTATCTAGGGAATCAATAATAGACAAGGTATAGAGAGTTATAAAGGATACAAATCAGCTGCGAGCCTCATCAAGAAAAATATATCGTACCTGCAGAACAATTCATCGTATCAGTATTACATAACTGATCGAAATATGAATCAATTCATGGTTAGAAAGAGACGAGTAAGTGAGAACTTACCACTTGAAACCAACACCTCTCATCGCTATGAAACAAACGAGAAATGTCAAAAAGGGAAGTTAAAGAGTAGTTTAGTTGTATTTGTTGTGGTGAAGAGAACCAACTACTCTTATAGTGAAGAGAACGGACTGTCAATTCATCTATATAAAACGGACTGTCAATTTGTTGCGGGGAAGAAAATTAAAGGGAGGAGAAAATTCCTGGATAAAAAAAGATGGTTTTTCGTGAATTTTATACTCATTGTTTGGTAGATATTAGTAGTAGATTCCATCTATATTACTACAAATTTCATCACTTTTTTGGTGTAATGTCAACCACAACATATTTGTAAATAACAGATTAACTAGTAGTTGGAAGTATTTCTATAAAAAAACATTTACATGACAATAAAACTACAACTTAATATGAATTTTCTCGAAAAAATACTCAAGAAAGTAATTAGAAATATACGGATTAAGCTTCAAAATCATTTTTACTTGCGACTAATTCCATTGATATATAGTGGCGATGATTTCAGCAGCCTGAAGGCGAGAGCCAACAGTTTCTATCACAAGCTCCCATTGCCTTTAATTGTTTCACAGCTCTCACCCCAAGCTGTCGTAATCAGATTCTCAAGCTCTCACAAGAAAAAAAAAACACAAAAAAAGCAAAAGCACATTGTTTATTGGGAAAAATGTCGAAAAATGCGCCAACTTTCAAATTTGGGACGATTAAATCATGAACTCTTAAAATGTTACTTTAATCACAAAGATTTTGTTGACTTTCCCATAAATAGCTAAGTTTTCGTTGACCTGGCCAAATTAGGCATCGCGTTAAGTCTCCGTTAGAACGACGTTGACGCTGTTAACTTGCCGTTTTTACAATCACCGTTTAACCAAAACGACGATGTTTTTTTCAGAGACTGAATTGTCTCTGCTTCTGCTGGGCTCTTCTCTGATGGCATCGACGCCGCTTCAATCTCCGATGGTATCGACGCCGCTTCAATCTCCGATGGTATCGACACTGCCTCACTCTTCGACGGGTTTTGAATTATCTCCGATTCTTCTGGGATCTCAATCGTCTTAGGTTCTCCATCGTTTGCTCTGCCTTCTTCCTCTACTAAAGCCAGCAGCCTCCGCGACCGACGAGGATTCCAATTTCCTCCATGCGTCTTCACTATCGGGATCTATAAGCAAGAGAACGAGAGAATTTGGTTTTTTTTCTAGGGTTAGGGATCGATTTGGGAATGAAATCGATTTGGGGGTTTTGACATTCTTCTCTGACTAAAACAACGACGTTTTCGTAAAACGAAAACGTCGTCGTTTTGGTTAAACGGTGACTGTAAACGAAAAGTTAACAGCGTCAGCGTCGTTCTAACGGAAACTTAACGCGATGCCTAATTTGGCCAGGTCAACGAAAACTTAGCTATTTATAGGAAAGTCAACATAAACTTTGTGATTAAAGTGACATTTTCAGAGTTCATGCTTTAATCGTCCCAAATTTGAAAGTTGGCGCATTTTTCGACATTTTTCCCATTGTTTATTAGCTCCAACTTCTAAGATAACTGAGCCAATGGAGCTCAAAAGGATTAGATATTATTCAAAATCTTATTTCGTTGATCAAGAACAAGAATCAGGAGCTTGTGATCACATGTAAGATCATGAATCAAGTCTTCACTGTAAAACAAAACACCTTTACAAGAGCCTAATTACATTCCAAATTCGTCTCAACTCTCAAGTATCAACTTCGTGTCTTTCAAATTATCGCAATCAAACTTTTTTGTAGAGTCAGCATGGCCGGTAGTGATGGAAAGAGATAGATAAGCAGCCAAACATTTTTCCTACTGATTAAAAGCTCAAAGCCAGAGCTTTGTGAAACACAAATTATAACCAAGCACACAATAGAGAAAAATGAAACTAGACGACACTCCAAAAGCGTTTTGGGACCTACCCGTACAATCAAAACTCCTAGAATTGATTGCTGTCGTCTTGACAATCCTCGCTCTTGTTGTCGGAAATTTGCTCAAATGCAAGATGAAGAACGAGCCGGAGGCGGCGGCGTTGGTTAGTGTAACAATATTGTTGTAGAATGTTGTATAAATTCTTGTTTATAAATCCAAACTGACATATAACTTTGTTTAATTGTGAAATCTAAACTCTAATCCTCGTTTATAAACTTAAACCAATATATATATATATAACATTGTTTAATTGTAAAATCTCAAACATATAACATCCTTATATATTATTAGTTTTTTATATGGATAATATTAAAATTTTATTTTATTTGTTTTATTAGATGGCAAATTTTTTGATTGGTTAAAAAATAGGGGATGAATAAAAAGGGTTCATCCCTAAGAGAGTGAACCCCAGATTTTTTCTTTCTTTTTTTATTCAATCGATTATTATTTTGTTGGTTCGAGGTTTTTTTTTGTGTATAACTGGATTATTGTTGGTCCGGTTTTCCAATCAGTTTTGGTTTACTTTTTTGACTGGAACATATCAAGAAATGACAACAATAAACAGAAGATGAAATTACAAAGAATCAATTTATCATTAAACCACCACACTAAACTACACAAAAATTATGAAAGAAAGATTAATATATATTTTCTTTATTGTTGGGTTATACAATGTCATGTGACAAATGAATTTTCAGAACCAAATAAGCTTCACAGGGACGACGAAGACAATTTGACTTGAGCAACAAGAAAGCGGTAGGAAAAAAATGATAAATACTCCCACAATCAAATCTTCTTAAATTCGTTGACTTAAACTCCTACTGATCGACAACAACTTGCAGAGCATCTTCTTAGGCTGTCTCGGGATCGCACACAACGCCATAAACCTCGAAGGTGTGCTCTGAAGAAACCCTCCACTTGGTTTAGCTTCATCTCTTTCTTCTTCCATTCCTTCTTCTCTTCTCGTTGTAAAGCTTCTCTTTAAAACCGCTGTTTCATTAGTGGTGATATTGTTTGTTGTTGTAGCTATTGTGGCCCGTGCTTGCTCGACGAAGAGGATTTGCACGATCACTCTCAAAGGAAGCAGCTCGTTCTGTGCAGCTTTCTTGCTTGCCTCTACTGATAGTTTCTTGCAGTCCAAGATTCTGCATAACGTCTTTCTCTCACACTTTTCAATCTTCTCATGAACCTGCAATACAGAGCTAGAGTGTTAGATGTTTCTCAGTGTGTGTTAAAATGGTTAATACCGTCTTGTTGGCTTTTATTCTACCTGAAGATAGATGTCAATCGCTTTGTATAAATCATCATGACAAATCCTTGAAACATCCGGTATTGATTCAGCCAATTCAACAAACTTCGACACTGTTAAGTTCACATCTCTAGCAATTTCTTGAAGATAGGAATCAACAAGCTTTGCTACTTTACTCAACAATGGAGGAGAAGAAGAAGTAGACAAAGATCCTCTAATCTCTTGTATCTCTTCCAAATTGATGTTTTCTTCAGAACGAGACCTTCTATGTTCTGTTCTTGTTCTTGTTGGCCTTATCTCAGGACTAATATGAGACAAAAACTGCTTCAACATCATCTTCACAACATCTACATCGTATAACATACCTGACTTGTCCGATAAGGGTATCAACAGCTCGCTAACAGTTGCCTTATCCAGTTGATTCCCGGCTTTTATCGCGAGTTCCATCTTCGAAGAAGGCGAAACATTCATAACATTAGCCATTTTCAGTAGCTGAAGCAAGAAACTGCAAGGAACAGAGGATTTTTCCTCTGGTAAAAGGGAAATAACCGATTCCAAAATCAGATTTGAATCCGTAGAGCTTTCTTCAATGCTCGGTAGCCATTTAGATGCATAGATCCTAAGAGCATTTCCGATTAACCGCGGAGATATCTTCCGGTTTGATGATTTTATCGCCACCATTGTTCTCCGGTAAAGATCTAAACCCAATTCAGCTAAATCTTCACCCCACCACCTCAAACTCTCTGCCTTACTTCCTCCACCATTACACAAGATTTCATCTCTTCTTATCCTTGACTGGTTTCTCAACAAACCGGTCTCCAATTGGGTCGAAAAATCCTCACCAGGGGATACATTTACACCGTTAGCAATCGCCTCGATGCATCGGTTTGTGATCCCAAGATCTTCAGACCATAAAGGTAACACCTTTGTAGTCTGAAGAGTAACAAACGAATCTCTCCAACTCTTGAACACACAAGAAGTCAAGAAAAGCTCAAGTCTTTGAACAAGATTCTCGGTCTCGCCGAGCTCTACTTCTTCCGTCATTCCGAGATACTCTGCTGCACAACGTACCGCGACTACAGTTGTGAGCACAGAGAGTGATTGTAATACCATAACAAAACTTAGCACAGAGCTCAAAAGCCTCTGTTTCGCCGGGAAAATCAACAAGTTGAATCACTTGCTGGTCTTGCGAGGTTTCTGTTTCTAGAGATTGTGAAGAGACTAAATTCTTCAAACGCAAGCATTTGGACAACATCGGAAACTGTAAATTGCATTGCCAAGAAACACAAAAAAAAATCAGAAATCAAAACATGAAATGTTATGAGATAAGAAATTGAAAATTTCTTAAACCTTGTGAAGTAGATATTTGGTGGATTTGACTTGGATTATAAGATCATTCAATAAATCAGAAGACACAGACCTGAAAATTTTAAAACAGAACAGAGTCAAAAGATCTGAGATTGATTGAAACAGAGGATTCGAAAATTTGAGAGAGACGATTGGTTAAGTCTTTTACCTAACTGATTCCACAGTGTAGAATGTGTCAGGTCGAAACCCTAATTCCATAAACTTCATCTCCGGTTAGCCGGAGAAGTCGAATCCGGTTCGCCGGAAAAAAACAAATCCTGGGTTTTTGTCAAAATCGGGAATTGATATTCGTCGTAACAGATGGTCTCCGGCAAACTAACGGCCAGAGATTGGTACAGTCCGATTTCAGTTCACCGGAAAGAGACCGGTGGGCCGGCGGCGGCGGTAGAGAGAGCTTGACGACGGAAAATTCGTCAATTGGTTCGATCAAGGATCGATGTGATGAAGACTTTGACTGGAAAAACAGTTCTTTGTCTGAAAGTTATGATTTTGGACTGTGTCTGAGAAGGATCTGTTATAGAGAAACATATATATGAGTGGTTGTTGTAATAAAATAGTTTATTTTCTTTTCTCAGATGTAGTTTTTTTTTTTTAAGGTTTAGCGATTACCTTGAGAAATCATTAGCTTTTTGACACCTGAGAACTTTCGTATAATCAAATTTAGCAGAAAGCACAAAAGTATATGGTTCACTAGATATAATAATATTGAACCCTATAATATTTATTAAAAAATTTACAGCGGAAAGGAAAAGCTAAAGTAATAGTCGATAATGATATGTAATATTTTTTTGAGTGGTATGGTTGATATAAAAAGGAAGATGATTTCAAAAAATTTCTCTATGAGAAATCAAGCTATATAAATTTTCAGTATTAAACCGTAAATCAATTAATTTTTCTCAAATTTACGTAATTTTCTTTCTTTTAAAAAATCTTTAAGAAATGTTTGTGAAATTTTGAAATTTTTTCTAACCTTATTGTAAATGGAAAAAATCATCTAAAAATTTGTGGTATTTTCGAAAACAATAGTTTTTCAATAAATTTGGAGCAATACCCTTTTACACATACATTCCGCTATCCAAATTGTCTTAGGGCTTGATTGGTTCTCCCGCTAGCACCCTCCTAGCGGTTGCTAGCGGTCGGTTGCGGTTGTTAGCGGTTGGTACCAATCATAGAAACCGCTCCGTACCGCTTCGAACCGCTCGAAATCGCTGAATTTCAAAAGCTCCTTCCCGCAAGCGTTTGCGGTTGCGGGCGGTAGCGGTTGGATTAAAAAAAAAAAAAAAAAAAAAAAAAAAAAAAAAAAAATCAAATGTTTACTTATAATTATTATAATATATATTAATCTTATATATATCTTTCATCTTTTTATCACGTTCTCATCAGAAACCCTAATAATATTCTGAAACTCTATTCTCTCAATGTGTTCCACCCAAACTGATGAAAATCAAGAACCAAAAGTAAGTATCATATATCCTTTTATTCATTCATCACCTCATGTGTAACTTTTTGAATATTTTTCATGGCATCGTTTTTTTTCTTTTCATTACGTATTGCTTTGCTTTTTGATTGAATATATGTTTCGATTTGTTTTCTCGAATAGAAACTCACTTGTTTTTAATTGAATTCAACTTTATTTACAGTTTGTCCCATTACTTAATGCAATTTTTGATGTTAAACCAGATGCATAAAGTACTATCTTGTTACAAAATTTCTTTATTTTTGAATAATTATTTAGTACTTTATTTATAGTTTTAATTATTAAGCATGTTCAATTTTTCTAATATTATCATAATAATATATTGGTGTTTTTATTTCCTTTTTTGTAATATTTTTTATTTATTTTGGTCATTTTTTATTTAACTGCTACCGCACCCGCTGGTTTACCAGTCATAAAACTCCCGCAAACGCACCCATTTTCAAACGCTAAACCAGTCGTTCAAAACGCTTGGTAACGCTTGAAGCCGCAACCGCCCGCTTCCGCAAACTCCCGCAACCGCAACCGCAACCGCTGCGTTTAAACCAGTCATGCCCTTAGTGATTCTCTTTGCTAAGAAAAACAGTCGATCAATAGAACGGAACGACCATAAAAATATATCGTATGATAAGAGGTAGTTACTATCTTGTACGGTTTGGATTGACCCGAAAAAAATTATTTGCCCATCTCTTGCTAACTATATCATCTGAAAACTTTCCCTGTTACAATAAGATTACTTAGCTTCAAGAAACGTAAACCCCTACCTCATAGACTCATAGTAACACTATATTCAAAATATGTTTATAACTTTTTGTTTGAATTCATTTAAGCTACCATTTTAAGGATATTTTTCCTAAAACTACAATCAAAATCTTCAAATTCCATAAATACCACAAACTTTAGATTTATGAAGAGTTTTTTATTAAGTTTAGTACAAGTTCTTAAAACTCCATTTCCTAAGAACCATTCATAAGTCATAACTCATAACCCAACTTTCAGTATGTTTAGTAATTTTTTAAAATTATGGTACTTTTAGATGAAAAAAATAAGAAAATTATTGGAAATATACTTTCATTAATTTTCTCATCATTTTACTATCTATATTCTTTTTGCCAACCATTCCTTTACTGTCTGTCTATATAACTCAGCATTTAGCATGACATGATTGGCTTGAACTTTTTCCTTTTATATCATGGAATTATTTGTTATTTTTCTACTAATATTATGGAATTAATAAGTTTTGTATTTCTCTTTTTACAATCTAATATTAATAGCTTATGTATCAGTACTGACCCCATCTAATAAAACCATTGTTTCTTTTCCTTTTATTATTAGTCTCTTTTTCGTAGTCATAGGCATTGGTACGAACTCGGGATATTAATAATTTTAAAGCTGATCATTGTTCCTCAAATGATGAAAACATTGAAAAGTATGATACGTTATTTAATCGAATTAAAAAGCCTTCATCATTTTTATTGGATGTCAAAGCATGACATGTGGTGTGTAGATAACTTTTACATATTCATGGAATTTCACTTTAAGGGAACTCCTCTTTTGTACAAAGATTGATGTAGATTGATTATGCTCACCAATAACCTTACATATCGTATTATTTCAGATTTAAAAATGAATTAAATACAATGCATGAATTACATAAAAATAGTATATGGTACTTAAAAATATAAAATGCATGGTACTAAGTACTAACTGATAAATAATAACAAAATAACATATTTTTCTTTTGTCAAGAAGAAGCATTATAAACTTTTGAATGCATGTGGTAACACAACACTAAAATTATCTTGCTATATATCTTGCTCAAAAGACAATAAAATTAAGTGCAATTACTTCAACGAATTAGACAACTGTTAGGTTATCAAGATCAAACTACATTTTAAAAAGTTTAATAAAAAACAATAAAATTACATTTGAAAAGTTAGCACCTGTTTTTTTTTTTTTTTTTTTTTTTAATTTGATTTACAGCTTGGATTTTCAAATCTAAAAAGAGAGAGACAATAACACCAATAATTGAAAAATCTTATTAGATTGTATTTTCGTGACTACAAAAGGCAAAGCGCCATGTGAATTGTCCATCGTCTTCCGATCATTGCAAATTCGACGCCGCTTGTTTTAATTAATTTATCAATACTTTCTTACTTCAAAATGATCCAAACACTTTTTCAATATTTTTGTACTCCAAATATAATCATTACTTTGTCACGTATTAGTTTATATATATGTTGATAAATGAGATGATATTGCTTTAATAAAACAAGATTGAAATGATGAAGGATATACAAAGTGGTATAAGGGGGAACTAGTAAACCAAAAACTAATATTACATTATCTACATAGAATGTTTGATTGGTAAGTGGTAATCTCGTATCGCGGTGATACGGAATATACTGCTTTGATTATAATATCAATCATAAAAGTTTTACCAAAAATGATATTCTTAAGTGTTTTGCACCGCTATTTTGTATTGATACTCTGTATCGTTTTAACTATTTTTGTAATGCTTATCACTTTTTATCCGCTTAAAAACTTGTATCGTTTTGTGTTATCAACCGGACTCGTTATACCAAATAATCACACACAAAGTGAGATTAAAAACTTTTGAATGGTTTCAATGAAGCAAATTATCAATTTTGTTATATGGCAAAAAGATTTCAACTAAATCAATGAAAACAGCAAATTTAAAACATATAATAGTTGATTACATAGTCAGGTATAAGTCACCCTCAAATAGGTGTACTTTTGGTTTAGAAAGCTAATCAATAGAGATTTCCCTATTTAGTGTCCCTTTCATGCTCCCCACAGTTGTAATCACCTTAGGATTCTACTTTTGTCATTTCGTTCTAATAGATTGTCTTATCTTCAAGACTATAGTAGTATAACCAATATTGTCCAAGCGTTTTGCAACATCAACCTGTCTAGTTAACGAAAGAAACGTGATGGTTAGCTAATAACATCAATTACTCTTTTGTTTGTTTTTTCTTAGCGTTAATCTGTTTCTTTTATAAATTAAATTGATATATAAGAAATCAGAATTCATCTACTAATTTTTAATATTGATTTTCACAAAACAGCCCAATGGAGAACCCGCAAAAATTGACTAATTTTGAAACCGATCATATAGTGAGATTCCGTCGAAATGAATGGTTCAAAGTTTTCATTTCGAAGAGACATATTAGAAATCGCATATGAGATATGCTGAGACCTAATATGATATACAAAGATATGAGTTAATTCATTCATTTCTTATTGCATTTGGATGTAATTGTTTATGAACTTTGACACTATTTGGCTTAACAACATCTAAACAAATAAAGAACGTAGAAAAACACAAAAGTTTTTCCATCTATATATGCACATATTTGCTAGTGTTTCCATATCGTATAGTTAAATCATTTTAGTAACAAAGAATTGGTTAGATTCTCTATGTGGCAACAATTTGTGGGGTTTTTAAATGGAAACAAGTAGTGTTTCTAAATAATCTATCTTTGAATATATAGGCCTGTGACGTCTGATGTACGCATGCAACTAAATACAACATGCAGTTGAAAATGGCATTCATTGTCTCCAAAATTAGGGTTTTGATATTACACTTAAGCAAACCCATGACAAAAAAAGCGGGACAAGGAAAACACAAGATTTGTTTTTGGTCATTGATAAATGAAGATAAATTACCATAATGGTTTTTGTCTAAGGTTTGTCTACAAGAGAGGAATCATCATCCCAATGGGACCATACCATCACCACCACAAAACACACTTTGTCTTTGTTTCAATTAATTTTGGACCCAATTTTCCAACTTATTTTCATGCTATCTTTGAAAAAGAAAAAAAAAATGCATACTATCTCATTTCATTTTCTATCTGTTTCCCGCAACTTGCATATATTTGAATTTCTTTATTCTTTTTATTGGTATATAAATTAAAATATCTGCATATATTATATGATGAAATTTTTTTTTAATCAGCATATTAAAAAAAAAAATTCCAATAATATCGTATCGTTTAATAACAAAATAAATTAATATCTAAACTACAAAATTAATCTTTTATATATTAACTCTTAAGAAAAATAAATATATAACATATAGCTTTTGTAAGAATATATATATTATGCGATCATTTATTTAATAGAATATATTTTGATTATCGGCATCATACACTTGTTCTTAAGCTTTTTTCAACTTGGTAGCAGAGCATATATCTTTTATTTCTTTTAGACCTTATGTCACGCTTATTTTTTGGTCTATGTGGATGATATTGCTATCACATGTAATTTTCTACAAAAAGTTCATGATTTATTGATCTCCTATGCTCGTTTCTCCTTTAAGGATCTAGATAATTTGATATACTTTCTTGGAGTCGAATTCTCTCGCACTTCAACTTCATGGAAATCCTTATGAGTATTGGATGGTTCTTGGATGTTTACAATACTTTCCGTTTACTAGGCCTGATAACTCCCTTACTCTGTCAACAAATTATCCTAACAAATCCATCAATCAACAAAAGAACAATAGTTGGCCTCCAAAAGAATTTTGTGCTACTTAAGTGGAATTAGACCTCTCTCACATCCAGTGGCCGTTCATGCTTCCTCGGATGTGAATTATCAAATAAACAGATTCTGAGTACAATGGATATTTTATCTTTCTGGTGAACTTGGCATCACACAAAGAAATCTCCGATTATAAACTATGATAACATTGTCGCAACTCGCAATCTATCTATGTTCGAATCCAATTTTTCATCTTCGAAGGAACCATGTTGTCGCTGGTTATTAATTTATGAGAGGTAATTGTGTGATGTGGTTTTTGTCTTTACAAAAGATCAGCTTGTTGATGCTTTAACCAAGTCACAGGCGCAGCTAGGGCCAAGTTCATTCATATATATATATATAGTAACAATATTAAATTTTATTCGCCAAGTCCATCTTTAAGAAATAACCTATTGAAATCATTAGATTATTATGTTGACTTGTTCTAATACACTAATCACATATCCTATGTAAATGTAACATCGGTGTATTTATGCTTGGGATTTTTTAATCATGAATATACGAGACACTCATTTTCTTACAAACAGTAAATATTGTTTAGTACAAAACATTAGTAAATTAATTCTAAGCAAAATTTAAAAATATTTTCAATAATGTTTCCAGTTTAAAAATATGTGATTCTAATGTTCCCAGTTCTTAAAATTTGTTGGCAACCAAATCAAACAACAGAGTATACAACTTTTGTCTGTCTCGGATCAGTCGTTCTCCAAACACTACTAGAAAACATGGCATATTCCAACAAATGTTTCTAACAATCGAATTTTGTTGGAAATTTCCAATGAATATCCCATAAAATTACGTTTAGTATTATATTTGTTAGAAATCTATTGTAAAATTCCAACAAATTTAAGTTGTGGCAAGTACATCACATAATTTATAGAAAAATTGTGGAAATTTTCCAACAAATACTATATTGTTGGAAATTCAGTGCAAATTTGCAACAAATTATAATTGTGACAATTACATTGCATACTTTGTAGGAAAGTCGTTGAAAATCTCCAAGAAATATTATATCGTTGGAAATTCATTACAAATTTTAGTTGTGATAATTACGTTGTATAATTTGTATGAATATTATTGGAATTTTCCAACAAATATTATTTATTGTTGGATAGAAGCAATAACTTTTAAGTTGTTGGAAAATTCTAACAAAATATTTGTTTTCTAGTAGTGTATCTTGACACTCCAAGGCGAGGAATCCATCAAGTGTGCCTAATGCAGTGGCGATGACATAGTGTCCACCAAGAGAAATGAACTCAAGTTCAGAATTAGAAGGATTATAGAGGTTTCCCTAAAAAAAAACAAAAAGTTAAAAATTAGTGGGATTCTGAGATCAAGTATTAATCCACAAAAACAAAGATGGGAAATCAAATGCTTTAGAAAATATATGAAAGTAAACTAAGAAGCAGAATTAAAATACAATTCCTGACCTGAGTGGTGTAATAAGAAGGATACACTTCGAATTGAATACTGAGTGGTCCTCCCTCCCTGAGCTGATACTCCAACTCTTGATGAAACATTGATACACCATCCTCACCACCATAGTCCGCTATGTAATCATAGATAGAATGAACGTCACAAATGCTTGGGATAATTCTCTCACATCCCTGTATCAAGGGAAAACAACATTAATTAAAGGTTAATTTAACAAAGAGAGAAGAGAATGAAGGAGAGAGAACATTTTACCTCAGTCGTTGTGCTCTCATCCAGGAAAACCTGCTCCTCAGTGATAGGACAATCTTCTTCGTATACTGTTCCACTCTCTCTAAAATGATGGGCAAGAGCATAAACATTTAAAATTCCAACTTCATTATCTATAAAAAGACCAACTACACCGTGTTCATCGTAATAATGCCTCGGCGTGGAATTCATTAACTCCTGGATAGACAAGACTTTAGCAATATTGATAGAAGCCTGGGTTCCCAACCATTTCTTCATCTTTCGAACCAATTGTATAAGCTTTCAATGGGGGTATTTCGAGTGCCCCATATAGGGACCCATAATTATATAGGTTTTTACTATTAGCTCCTCATACATTTATATGTTACATTTTGAACCCATTTTTTATTTTTCGGACTGTTATTAGTTGTTACAAAACCATATCGCTGATAAAGTATTGTGCAAAATCCGTAATTAACGAAAACATTAAGAAGAAAAAATAAACTGGATGAGTTGGTTAAGGGAACATTGAAAGCAACAATTCATATCTATAAAAACTCTGAAAAAAATTCAACATTCTAATTCATTTAACGTAGGATTACAAAAGTCCCAGTTTGTCTCCCATTTTTAGTCATCGTTCATGATGGTTGTATACGAATAGTTGGATGAACAACTAATTATTACATTTAGTTTGTTTCCAACGAGCCATATGTCAATGTTTGTTACGCTTCAATTTTTATTTTTTATTTTCTTAAATGTTACTTTCGAATGAGTTGTTAATCATCTACCATTTCTCGTTTTTTTCCTTAAATCCTAAATCTTTTGAACATTTTGTCTATATATATAACTTTTGTAAGACAGAAATTAACCAGAAATAATATTGTATCCAAGTCTGATCGAACTACCGACCATGAACATTTTTAAAATCGTTAGATCAGCAACTAGTTGATTGCATATAGTCTTCTCAAACAAAACAAACAGATACTAAATCAAAACCATATCATCTTTGTAATTTTATTTAGTTATGTCGCTATCTATATTAACGATTTTCCGATATGCTAGTCATATGCGAAAGATTTATAAAAAGTAATATGTTGATCAGGAAATTGATAAAAGTAAGAACAGAAAATGATTTTTAAAAGAAATTATTATTAAACTCTCATAAAAATAAAACTATAAAATATATCACTATATAGAACTAAGATTGAATATGAATATCAAATACTTCAGCTGGTTATTTTATACATATACATTTTGCTATTTATTGGACGATATAAAATCATACCCATACGTTTTAGACTTTAGTATTTATTAGACGACCTGAAAAACAAAGTCATTGTCGACCGTTGTAATATAGTTAATGTCGCATACTATGCCTCTGAATATTGGACTATAATTTTTTTTTAATAGGAACAATATACATAATAATCTACAATTTTCGGAAATTTTGATTCTCAACGATCGCTTACCCTTTTGTAAATCATCTGATGAAACTCTTTAGAATAACAAAAATCAACAAGAAATCTGAAAAATATGTAATAAAATTTCTTCATCCATAGTCTCCATAATTTTGCTACCAACAAAATAAATCTCTTTAATTGAACTATGCACATGAACAAAATACAACAATATTATTTCAATAAGAATTGCTTGTTGGAGACGTTGACTGGACGTCAAGCCCAATTTTAGGAATCAGCCCATAAGTTTGTTAAGAGACTAAGAGCATGATTATAGGTAGTCTCTTAGAAAATAATCTTAGCAATATTTAAGTAATTTGTTTGTAAAAGTGATTGTTAAGAGATAGTATTTTTGAGTTAAGATTTTTGTGTGATTAATGGTAGGCTCTTAACATGTGGTTCTTAGAAAAAAAAAATTAATATAAAAATAAAATTTATAATTATAGAAAATTTAATAATTGTTGCAAATTAAAAAAATTAAAACATACATGAGATACAATTAATTAAAAAAGAAATAAAATTAACAATTTTAAGTCATGAACCTCATTTGAGGTTTTTAAAAATTTAAATTTTTGAAAATTTGTGTTTTAAGTGTTATTGAAACACTTGATCAAATTTATGTGTTTTGGTTTATGTGTCTTGGTTTTGTGGAGAAAAAAAAGATATGGTTTTGGTTTATGTGTATTGGTTTTGTGGAAAAAACAAAGATATAGTTTTGGTTTATGTGTTTTAGTTTTGTGTAGAAAACAAAGATATGGTTTTAAGTGATTCGTCTTTTGAAATTAAAAGAGTGAGTAGTAGGTTAAAGTTGACAAACGTCATGAAAAAATGAACTTGTAGCAACAGAACATTGGTAAACATTTATTACATCATTCAAAAAGGTCTGAGAACAAAGAAAAGCAACAAACATAGCCTCGAATCCAAAAAACAGGTGTTAAATCTTTAGCTTTTCAAGACAGAGTTTGACAAATGTTTCTTCCCACGAGTCAATTGAGCTCCAACAGTTGCAGTCTCATTAGCTTTTGACTGGGAGCTATCTTCCCACGCTCTGACAAAAGACAATCTCTTCTCCTTTGACAAATCAACTAGCTTAACATATCTAGATAACAAACAAATGGGGCTCAGTAACTTCCACAAAACATCACAACCAGAAAGTAGTCACAAAGTTTAGATTACCCTAGACCAAACCATCACCATTTAAGGCTTTGGTTTTATTTTCGTCTTGATCATGTTCCTTTTCATCTATAATGGAGCTTTAATTGGTAAAGAATAGAAAGCAATGGAGCTTTTCATCTACAATGGAGTTTTTTTTTGAAGAAGCAGAGAGGAAGAACAGGAAAAACCTCGTTGTTGGTAGCCATGGCCTCTACAAACCTAAACGTAGTCTTAGATTTCAGACTCAACTATGCTTCTCTCACCTTATCTATGTATCCTCTTCCCGATGCAATTGCTACCTGCTTCAATCAAACCACAAAGAAGATTAACCAATGGAAATCAGACCAACCGATTTTGAAAAAGACAACATCACTTACAGCAATTGTATTCACATTGTATCGTTACATGTTATTCACTTACAACAACACTGAAAGTACAAAAGCAAAAAAGTATCACCTACATCTTTTCTAAAGTGCTTAAACTGGAAGTCTAAACCAATTACAAAACGTATCACATTAAACCAGTTTTCTAAAGTGCTTAAACTGAAAGTGCTTAAACTAAACAATAACATTTAAGTTAAGCCTAAATACTTAAACTGAAAGTCTAAAACATTACAAAACATACAAAAGCAAAAAAGTATCACCTGCTAAAACATCCACACGGATCAAAAAAACAGAGTATTAAGATCCAACAAACTATTAACAAGCCTACTTTCTTTACAATCATGCCTTACAATACAGAGACACACACGATGCAGCTTCCAATTAGCCAAATACTAGAGTTAACAAACCCTAATTTCAAAAATCTGAAGAACCCTAATTTGAAAACTCTTTTAATACATCACACACACTCAATCATGCTTCTAATAAGGCAAACAATAGACTTAACAACGAAAAACCGATTATCCCCAAATCCCCAAAAAAAAGAACCCTAATTTGTTAATACGCAAAATACATCAATTCAGACACCAAATGAGACATGCATACCTTGAATAATATAGAACTGAAGCAGAGAATCCGATTTCTTCGATTTCTCCGTTTTCTCCGTTTTCGCGAGAGAGAGAGAAAACAGAAGGAAAAATAAAACGCGTGTGTGTTTTCTTGGCTTTATATATTTCTCGGATTACCCATTCACAACACGCCACGTGGACGTTTCTTAAGGCTTATTTTGTTCCTTAGCTAAGGAACGTTCCTTAGTGTAAAAGGAGTAAATGCATTAAATTTAATCACTTTAATCTCTAAGATTTTCCTAAGATTTCCCTAACATACTCCCGTTAATCATGCTCTAATAGCCCCTAAACAACTAACACCTAAATAAATAGAAAACACTCTCCCACAATTTAGTCCATAACCCAACTAAATTATAAACAACACGCGTTTAGGTATTCATGCATGAACATGGAACTCAAGAGTCAAACCTTCAACTCTTTGTTCATTGAACATGAGTTTGTGATCCTCTCAAGTTTCCCAAATTGGGAAGTTTTGATTTGCATCAACACTCGCTTAGCCATTTTGTAAACCTCTCTCTCTCTCCCTCTCTTACTCGCTGTCTCTTTTTCAGATTTCCATTGTTATTGTAGGCTTTGGACCTTTGGTGTTTCTTAAGAAATTTCTTTCTCGGCAAAATTCATAAAGGCTATATATAATGCAATCCGGCCGACAATTACAAACCATGTCCCAGCTATTTAATGCATCACCATATCATAAAATTGGATCACCAGCTCGATCTTTAATATAAATGTCGATTGATAAAATGCAATAATAAATTAAACTTTTCGTTCACTAGCCGATCGATCTCTAAATTATTAAAAATATGTGATTTGAATTTATACATATTTTTCATATATAAGTATAACTTACACACGTACCGACGTACGGCACAGTCACACTATCAAATTATGGATTCAGATCATGACACGGAGATTATATTCAAATCAATGACTATACCAAGTGATGACACAACATCATCACTACTCAGTACCGACTACAAGTCATAGTTGTGATTAAATAATGATTGGATAAAATTTAGTAAATATACACGATAATTTTCCTCATGATTAGTGTGTTTGGCGTATCATTCATTACCTTCTAAAGGATGATGAACCAACTATACACATTAATAACGTGGTCGGGGGTTAGTTTACCAATTCAAGAAAATTCATTTCTATGACCCAATAATGTTCTTTTTCATATATTTTAAATGCTCATTAAATAGTGTAGGTTGAAAAATAAAAAAAAGAGAAGTTTCTATCATGGACTATCAAATGATTAAAAGAAACTGTAGACACCATATTTTTAAGCCTCACCTTCTCTATATAAACCAAGGCCACAACAAGTGTTATTTCATCAACCAAAACAAAACAAAAAAAAACACAAGTGGAAACTAATAAACCAAGAGAGAGAGAGAGATAAATGGCGACGTCGGGGACATACGTGACGGAGGTACCGTTAAAAGGAACAGCGGAGAAGCACTTCAAGAGGTGGAGGAACGAGAACCATCTCTTCCCTGACGCCGTCGGTCACCACATCCAAGGTGTTACTGTTCACGATGGCGAATGGGACACTCACGGAGGCATCAAGATTTGGAACTACACATTGGGAGGTATACCTTTATTTATATATTATTAGTCAATTATTTTAACAAGAACTCTGATCACTAAATGGCATGTTGGAGATTTATTGCAACATTACATATGAATATGACATTAATTTAATTTACATGTATGTAAAGATGGAACGCAGGAGGTATTCAAGGAGAGGAGAGAGATGGACGACGAGAGTAACACAATGAAGGTTGTAGGACTAGAAGGTCACGTGATGGAGCAGCTCAAGGTGTATGAGGTCGATTTCCAATTTATTCCCAAGTCTGAAGATGATTGCGTCTGCAAAATCACTATGATATGGGAGAAGCGCAACGATGATTTCCCCGAACCAAGCAGCTACATGCAACTCCTCAAGAGCATGGTTGTTGATATGGAGGACCACGTCCTCAAAGCTTAATCATCATTATCATTACAATCACCATCATCCCTATATATATATATATATGTTAAGTTGTTTTCAATTCTATATAGTAAATTGTGTTTCATTTCTGAATACTATATATATCGTGTGGTTTTTAATTCAATATATAAGAAAATGGGGCCTTGTGGAGTTTTATTTCTGTAGCATCAGCATAATTAATTAAGACATGATATGTAGATGTTGAAATCTTTTCCAACCAAGATACACTTAGAAAATAAATTTAGGGTTTCAAAGCTAACAATTGAAGGAAACGGAGATATTTTGAACCAGAAATAAAACTATGACATTTTTTACCTTAGAAATCACTCCGATATTAAACAGTTTAAAACATTTTCTTAAAATTAAAGACTCTTTTTAAGGTTAAAGAAAAGGCTAGATTTTTGATGATTTCTTAGACAATCTTAGAGAATCAACATCAATAAGAAACCCACTGAATATCTTAAATATAGTATTTATTCATTTTGATTATTTATTGAATTTTTAAATCATAAATCAAAATTAGACCAATTAAACAATAACAACTGTCAAATAAGTATGTTAAAATCTGAGAAACGTTTCTCAAATGAGAACCGTATCTCAACATCTCTCCTACTTTTTGATTATATTTATTTATTTTAGTTATGAGAACTCCATCAAAAAATCCTTGATGGAGATGGTCTTAAAGGTTAGTATGTATTACATCAAAAATCAACAAGTGATTCATGAGTTTTTTTCACGTTTAATTATTTGTTTTGTTCATTCCTTTTGATGCAATATTTTTAGGAATGATGGACTTCAAATAACATTGTATTATAACGGTTGTCTTGTCATCTTGTGTTATCATCTCGTTATTGATTTCATTGCATAACAAAGCCCATGGTCATTGGAGTCTTTGACTTGGCGGTTAATACCAAGCTTTAACATTTAAATGGGCCTTATTTAAGTCAAGCCCAAATTTAGAAATTAGTCCATAAGTTTGAGAAGATATTAATAGCGCCACGTGTCAGTAACCAACACAAAAAGTCATAATAAAACAGCTCCCATTTAAAAAGCCTCGTGGTGAGACCTTTCAAACTTCCCGAAAAAACCGTTATTCGTATGCGTAAATGACTACTGTACCCTCATTTTTATCAAAGCTTATCCCGTCAGTGGGAAGGGCAAAATCGTAATCCCCAATAAATTTGACTTAAATTTTTGGTTTAGAGATTTTTTCCGGTGATCGGAGTAGGATTTAGAGTTAATCGCCGGTTTAAGACACAGTCGGAGGATCGTGATTTTGGGAGGTTACCGGTTAACTGGTGAATTTATGTAAACCGTCGGTTTACTAGAAATGTGGTGGATGATGGAAGAAGACGACGGACACTACTGTTCTAAGATGACTGATGATATTTGCGGCGGCGTTTGCGGCCAGGTTTGATTCTCCGATCGGCTTTTTCCGTTTACCCTTCGTTAAAGTTTCAAACCTTCACTTGAATTTTTATATGCTAAGGTCGATTTAAGAACAAATTCCTAGTTTCTGTCTCTGATTTTGGTTTAGGGTTTTAGGATCTGATGATGCTTAATTCTTGATTGTGGCAGGATTCTGGTAAAGTTTTTAGTATCTCTAGGCTTTGTTGTGTTCTTCGTGGTGACTTGGAGAGAGTTGTATCCTTACGTTACGCAGTTTGTGATACTTGAATCGAACTCGACGTTTACAGGGTTGCCTAAGCCTCTTGTGTTTGCAGAGCATAGAAATGAGTTTGGATTCGTTGAGCCAAGGTTGAGTTATGGTTCGGTTGGTGGGAGGTTTAAGAAAGGAGAAAGTCCGTTTTACGAAGAGGCTTATCAAAGAGTGGCTTTAGATCAGTTTTTGAGGATTGTGGGTATTACTGAAAATATTTGTTGATAATGTTTGATGTTGATGAGATTCCGAGTAGATATACTGTGAATCTTTTGAGATGGTGCGATGAGATTCCGAAAATACTCTATCTACGGCTCAAGAACTATCTTTACTCATTTGAGTTTTTACTTGATAACAAGAGCTGGAGAGCTTCTGTGCACAGTTATCAGACTGGTAAAATGCGGTATGCTCATTACCGACAATCTGATGATATCTTGGCGGATTCAGGATGGCATTGCAACTTTTGTTTCCGACATATCAGTGAGTTTGTCTTCAAGATGAAAGCTTATAGTCATTATGATAGAGTGAGGTTTGGTCATTTCTTGAATCCTAAAAAAGTTCAGATAGTTATATGGAAAGGTGGGGATCTTTTCTATATGCTTCTTGAAGAGTATACATTCAAGGAGATAATCCGGAATATGGGTAGATTATTAGTATCTACAATTGTATATATAGAAATCTAAAATAGAAATGAAGAGTTTGAAAAGGACTTTATTAACTGTTTCAATACTATAACTGTTTCTAGAACAGAGCTATATTGTTCTTTTCAAAGAATGTGTAGTGTGTATGTATACTTATGTGCTCTTTTTACTGGAAATGCTATCTGAACACTAAACTTTGTTATTCAGTTCCTCTATTCTTTTGGTTTAAGTAAGTGTAGCGTTTGAAGAGGCAGATGCAATTTCTTTCAGATACTTCTGCTCTGATCGCGTCATTCTTTTCTGAAACATTGTCCATTCCCGTTTACATCTCTCTCTTACCTGTCCAAAACATGTATATAAATCAGTAATTAGCAATAGAATCGGTCTAAAACCCGATAAATTCAAGAACCTTATAAGTGTATAACGCAAGAATATAGTCGTGGTTGAGTTATTACCCCTTGGAACGCGGTTTTCCCTTCCTGCGCAGTTCCCTGATCAATGTATTTAAGAGATCATCTCATAGTTAAAACTATGAACAAAGAAGCTAGTAAATAATGTAGTTGAGTACAGAAAGATAAAGTTTGATCATTAAATAACCTGGCTGCCTAAAGAAGGAATCTTTTGATGAATGATCCATTGAGAATCCACAACACCAATCTTCTCATGTGCAGGCTGTTTTATTGTATCATGAATGGTTTTTTCTTAGTTTCGAAAATGTTTTTTGCAGTTATACGTGTTTGTGAATAAGTTGTAATTGTATCCTAACCTCGACACATTTTCTTAGCGCAAAGTCAAGACCCCAACCGTGAACCAAGTCATTCTGTATCATATGCCACACGCAGCGCCATGAATCTCTTGAGAAAACTGGAGCCATAATCTCTATAAACCTGATAAGAAACCGTGCAAAACTTATTGGATCAAGAAAGTTTGAATACTTCTCTATTGGTTTTGACAAATGAGATACATACCCTGCACAAGGAGGTAGGTGAGGGTCATTGCAGCGGCCTGGTTTTTCTTCGACTTCTCTGATGAAATTTTTTGGCAAGAATTACTAACTTTTTCTTTACTTTTAAACCTTGGCATTGACATTTTGTATTAAGAGTTAATTGTTTTACTTGTGAACTTCGCTTCCGGGTATTCTCTTTGTTATCTTCCAAGTGATTGATTTTCTTGATTCCACAGCGGGTTGGGAAATTTCTAAACCATGCTTTTTCACAATCTTGATGTACCTGCAATGATGTAGAAAACATTTTATAACATTTTCTGATTAAAATTCTTGGATATAGATAATATAATCAAAAGAAGAAGCAGAGTACTTACTCTTCTGCGTCGAAGTTTTCAACTCCAAGATCTTCATCCCAAATGAATATATATTCATACGGTGCTATGATATCAGGATGCAGAAACCTTTTAGCATACCACCTTCAATGGAAACATATTCAAAAGGTTTTATTTAAACTTGGGATCAATGGAAACTGAGAAACAAGTAAGAAAAGTGTTTGTTATGTTACCACTTGGTTTGCTTAGGTACACTCACGTGTATCGCCCGTTTAGACCATTCAAATTCATCATATTCCGAGGTTTTTCCATCGTAATGAAACAGGACAATAGTGAAGTTATCTGAGAACTATTGAGAGTGTAAAAGATCTTAGCTTAATAAGGGTGAAAGATTAGAAGAAAATCAGAAATAAGAGTACAAAAGAGAGAGAGAGACATACCTTTTTGATACAAGCATTGATGTTTTTTCTCTGTTCATAAGAAACAGTAAAAGCAACTAGATACTTAGGCTTCACCACTGGTAAATCCTAAAGAAACCAAAAAACATGATTCAGAGACAAGTCAAAGATTAAGATGTTTGAAAGATCATTTAACAAAACCAAGAGATGTTATACATCTTTAGGCAATCCCCACAATCTTCGTAAGTAAAAATCTGATTCGGCTGCAACAAAACTTGGTGGCAACATCTCTGCACCTCGAGGATTCGATGGAACCCAAATCTGCAGAATATACAAACAAACTTTTTAAACTAATCCACAAGAATGAGTCATGTTTCACAAGGGAGAAACAAAAACATGCCTTATGATGATGTGCTGCATCACTTGAATTAAACTCATTTTGTGGACTCGTCTTAGATGATTTCTCCGGTTTCTCGGTTTCTATGTAAACAGTAGCAACAGAAGGAAGTATGCTTGATGGAAAGTTCATCTGACAAAACATAAACACAACTTTACAAAACCACACCAAAACATTAATTCTTGAAAGAAAGTAAAACTTTAAATGCTTACCTTAGTTAGTGACAATGTAGGAAAAGATATTCCTAGTAAAAATCCGATAACTATTCCTGCGAATATCGATATTACGAGCATCATACCGTCATTCGGTTTTTTACTATTTGAACTGCACAAAAAAAAACAGAACACTATGAATCATTAATCATCATCTCTTTCATAATGAACTCAAAGATTCAATAATCTGATAAAACTCATAAAAGTCACATACCAACGTATTGAGTTGTCTGCTCTGTTTGCCATGTTCTGAAATTGGTTTAGTTGACCAGAAACAATATCATTCAGTCTCCGAGACTTCACTATCTGTATCATGTCAAAAAAAATTCAGATCAAATTATCATACGACTTCATAAGTGAAAAAAAAAAGATACAACATCAAGAAAATTTGGCTTCTTAATTAGGAGAGAAACTACTGAATTTTTCTTACACGGTACGGTATGAAAGATAATTAAGAGTTAAGAGAAAACTTGAACCGAAATCAAGAAAAACCTAAAGACTAAACTCAAATCTTATAAAAAACAGAGCCTTCTTTTGTAAGAAATTACGTACCCGTAATCTAACAAATAAGACAAAGCACAAATTCACAAGTTATGAACTTTGTCTTTTCTTTAACATCTAACTTATAAACTTTATCTGTGTATATATATAAACATAGGAGCGAAACTTAAACAAGACAGTAAGTTCTAAATTCAGACATAAGATGGGGTTTAAGAAGATAAAAACATGAAGACACGTTAGACACAAACTTGCTTAGTTTTGCAAAAAAAGAAAACTAGCAAGTAAAAAAAAAGTTGACAATCAGCAACAAAGAAGGATCAAAGATGGATGAAAAAAAGAAACAAACAAAAAAATTACCAGAAGAGAGAATATAGAAAAAAAAATCTTGAAAATTCGTCGTCGTCTTCGAAAAAAGTCGATGAACTTTGTCTAAGAATTAATTTTCCCTAAATTTTATTGGTGTTGGATATATGTTTTAGTTCTTCGCGGGTTTAATAATAAAAACAATTTAGAAAAAATAATTAAAAAGATAAGCTGAAATCAGGTGTGACGCGTTGCACGGGATTTGCGTGAGGAGTTGACTTTTAAAGACGCTCGTGGAAGGAGGGTGACTCTCACGAAGCAGCCAGACTGGAAGACGGTGTAGTCCACGCGCTCTTTTGTCCACGTGGTGATTTACGAGTGGTGATTCGTGGCTAATTAAGTGGAATTAAAAAATATTATTTTCGTGAATGACATTAATGCCCTTTTTGAATTATAGATGGGTCTTAGGTGAAGTGGAGAGGACGAAAGCATAGGTCGTTGATACAATAATAAGAAAGAAAGAGTGTGTGAATCGCGAATGTGCGAATGTGCGATTGGTAAGTTTGAATATTGTGTTTTAGCAAAATGGTTAACACTTATTTTGGTAATTAGAGAAAATGGGGTCGAAACAAAAAAAAAGAAGTCAGAGATATTCTCAAGTTGGGGTTGTAGGAAGAGTATGGCTGTAAATAGTAACATGGTTTTTGAGGAATTTTTGAGGAATTCTTGAGGAATTTATGAGGAATTGTTGATGTTTCAAAGTTTATTTTTGTTTTTAAGTTGTTTAATAAATTAATCAATTTTATTATTTATTTAAACTAAATAATTATTAAAACTATTATATCTCTACTTCCACTAAAAGTTGTTAATAAGAAAAATCATAAACTAGCAAAATAAAATAGTTTTTATTTTAGAAGTAACAATTACTAGTTTTTTATTAGCTTATGCTTTTAGTTTTTATTAGCTAAACTAATATTATTATATTAGCTTATGCTTTTATATGATATTTATATTTGATAAAAAGATTAAGTGTGTTACATTCTTAATATTTTACAAGTTGGAGCTTTTTCCAAATTAAGTTATTATCTTATGTTTAATAAATTATTAAATTATATAAAATTTCAAGTTTAATATTTCATTTGTTTTTTTATTTGGTCTTGTTGACACAATAAAATTATGTAATTTATAATTTTATATGTTTTTTTGATTAATTTATTTATTTTTAAAAATTCAGCCAGATTCAGCCGTTATCATTTGAACTTTAAGATATTCAACTAGATTCCGCAAAAAACATCATTAAATTCAGCCAGATTAACCAATTCAGCTACATTCAGCCGGATTCCGCAGTTACCATTTACACCTTATATGATGAGAACCAATAATCTTAGTAAAAATATTTCACTTATTTACTCAGTTAAAAGGCATATAACTATCATTCTCCGAATCACCAAGCAAAGTCATAAAGGATACAAGTCCGCTGCGAGCCTCATCAAGAACAATAAATCGTACCTGCAGAACAATTCATGGTATCAGTTTTACATAACTGATCGAAATCTTAATCAATTCATGGTTAGACAGAGACGAGTAAGTGATAACTAACCACTTGAAACCAACACCTCTCATCGCCATGAAGCAAACGATAAATGTCAAAAAGGGAAGTTAAAGAGTAGTTTAGTTGTACTGAAGTATATGTTGTGGTGCAGAGAACCAACTACTCTTGTAGTGAAGAGAACGGACTGTCAATTCATCTATATAAAACGGACTATCAATTTATTTTATTAAGTGTTTTAGCACTATGGTTAACATTTATTTTGGCAATTAGAGAAAATAGGGTCGAAACAAAAAAGAAGTCAGAGATATTCTCAAGTTGGGGTTGTTTTATTTCTAGGATTAAGTGGAAGAGTATTTTTTGCTTTGCTTTCTAAATGCTCTGTTTTTGCTTAAATTTTTTCTGCTTTTACTTGCCCAGTTTGTTGTAACAATTTTAAAATATAAAAAATTGTTGCTCTTTTCATACATGGATATTAAATAGCCAGCTATTAGAACTTATACAATATACGACGGCCATTTATATGATCGGATTAGAAGAAAAAAAATCATATTTTGTTAATTTGTTGATTCAGTTGGGTTAAAGTTAAAACTGAATTTTGAATATCTAAAAAAAAATCAAGTGGGCTGGCTACAAATAATCGATGGGAGCCCAAAAGCTTGTTCACCTTGGGATCCAACTGATTTCTCACCGGTAAAAATATCCAAGAGAGTTGTATTTAAACAAAAACAAATAACCAATTTTTTTTTTTTTTTTTTTTGTAATGTAAAAATTCATTAATCAACAAAGAAAAGATAGATACAAGAGTTTTTGGACATTTTCTAACAATAAACTGAGCAAGTAAAAGCAGGAAAAATTTAAGCAAAAACAAAGTATTTAGAAAGCAAAGCAAAAAAAAAAAGTCCGAGATATGAGAACCAATAATCTTTGTAGAAGTATTTCACTTCTTTACCCTGAGTTAAAAGTACTAAATATTGGAAACAAGATGTATGATCGAGTTTTAAAACATATGTTATTTTAACAAGATGTAGGTCGGTGTATTAGCCTAATTAACTACATTGTAGAAAAGAGAATTCGATTTCGCGTGAAATTTGGTGGACTTGTAGATGCTACTAGATCGTAGTCACTTTCCTAATATATGATATGGACTTGAACCTCCCTGAAAAATGGTGGTGTTTGGTGGCCGGACGGTGGAGCCAGCGGTGGCAAAATTGGCACCATGGCTGAAATTTGAACCGATGGAGTCCTAGAAAGCATTTAGGTATGGTAACCCTAACTCCTCCGCTGATTTCAAAAAATAGAAAAGATGTCAAATTGGGTTGTGTGAAAACTCAGTAAAAACATCTTTTATGAATTTGATCAAATACGTTTCACTTCATCCTAAATACAAAACTCAGTAAAGGTTGAATTGCAGTCGATGTTATAGTTTGATATAATTTGCAGTAAAAATTATGTGGTATAAACTGCAGACTGATGTAGTAATAATAATTAAAAGTTGCAGTATATGCCATTAAAAATAATTAAATTATATATTAATAATAATAACAATATTTCTTACAAATAAAATAAAATAATACTAAAAACATAGTTAATTTGAAAAAATATTTTGTTACATAATAATTATAAAACTAATGACTTACATTTCATAGCATATTTAAATTTCATCTTTATTAAATCTAGTCTTATAAATAGTTTATGATAATTAAATGAAAATAATAAACATAAACTAAAAAATTTAAACATGTTAAGAAAATAAAGAAATTTAATTACCTATTTTTTTGAAATGTTATTGAATAAAATTAAGATAATAATAACAATTTTTTTCTCATGATTCAAATTAGTTTAAGACATTTTCTTCTAATTTAAAACTAATTTTCGTTTTTAAAAAAAATAAAAATTATAACTCAACTTACCACATCCTAACTCATGAGAATTTCCACTTACCAAAAAAAAAACTCATGAGAATTTCTATGTTTTTGAGTTAAGTTTTGATTTAGCAATTCTACAAAGGAGATGACTCAAAAATGTAAGTCATTCATAACTCAACAAACTTCAACCTCTAATGCAAAATTTTAAAAACAAATCATGATTGGTAACATTTTTGAGTTATCTTCCTAATTCAATGACACAACATAGTAACTCATGTCACCAATCACACCCTAAATATGACAGGTGCGATTTCATTTTCAAAAAACAAATATCTCTACCATTTTTTATGAATTTCATCAAATATGTTTCACTTCATTCTAAATAGAAAATTCAGATAAATATGACAGGTAGTTGCGATTTCATTTTCATGAGAATTTTCTTAGAATTTGACAAAAAAACAAATATTCCAAATAACTTTTACTCGTCCCCATTTTCAAGAGACACTTTGGTCATATGATTCCTAAATTCTATCTGGTGCAGGCAAACTTAAGGGGAATAGAAGGATCCGTAAACGCCCCGCCGTTTATTTGCTGAAAGATCCAACTTATTTGCCGTTTCAGTGAAATGTATGCCGTCCCAGCTAACTCTAAACGACACGTCGTTACAAGACTTAGCAAGCACAAGCTCTTTCCCTTCCACCATAACTTTAGCTCCACATTTGATTAGCTTGTTGTAATTGTACTTCCCACCAGTGTCCACAACAAGCCACCAAAGGATATCGAAAACCTAAAGCACCAAATTCAAACATAGAATAAACCGTTAGAACCAGTCTAAACAGAGCCCGAGTCACCTAAGGTTTGTTATAAACATGAAAAAAGGTTTGAAAAGTACCTAGGTTCTTGGCTTGAGTGATGAGAGTAAGCTTGACAGAGTAGATATCAACATAAGTAAATGCAGCTTCAGAGAGCTCTTTTCTCAACCCAATCACTCTTCTTTTGAGTTCAGAGTTGAAATACCGAGCAATCTCATTACGCGAAATTGCACAACCGTGAATGTCGATTTGGGATGCTGGTACTGGAAACCGGTCTAAAACATAAGGTAGACAACCGATTGGAGCTGTGTTATGTATCCAAAAACTTCTTCCTCCTTTCTGATACACATTCTACAGAAATCAAAAGGCGGTTAATTCAGTTAAATCACCGACATTTTCATAACAAAAATTGTACCCGGTGAAACAGACTATTATTGCTTACACGAATGGCGTCACAGTATTGATTAAGAACATCTGGAATATAAGCCTTAATTTGATCATTAGTCATGTTGAGTTTTAATCCAGTGACGAGATCATTCTGACCGATGTCGAATGTGTACAATGCTTGAGAGAAATAGTCTTTTCTCGGAAGTAATTTCTTAAACACTCCACCTAATCCAAAAACGAAGAATTTACTAAACGTTTTGATAATCTTGCATACATTGAAAAACTAGAGGGTTCTTATAAGATTAGGATCAAAAGGTTGAAACTTTGAAGTACCTCGATTGCGAATAAGTTGTGATCGTGTGAGGAAATTGGAGAATTGAACCAATTGAACGTCGAGAGAGATTGGACTTGCACCGCTCTGAGAAATTGTGGTGTTTGGTGGTCGGACGGTGGATCCAGCGGTGGCGAAATTAGCTCCATGGCTGAAATTTGAACCGATGGAGTCTAAGAAAGCATTTAGGAATGGTAACCCTAACTCCGTCGCTGATTTCAACAATAGGAAAAAATTAAATGTGTCGTGAGAAACACAGTAAAAGATAAGAGATTTATGAATGTGTTGTCAGAACTAAGAACCTATGAAGTCAATGATGAGTCGACCATCTGAGAAACGACCGGAAGGGGAGTGGAAGAAAGTTCGGCCATTAGGGTAAGGGGCTTGTCCAAAGGCGGCGGAGAGGCCACCTGTGTCGGAGTTAGAGTCGCCGAAGTTGAAGATCGCCGGGAAATAGCAAGAAGGAGAGCAAACACGGGGATGTATGAGACATGATGCTAATATGACAAACTTTATCAACAAGTGATTAGTTTCCATTTTCTCCTTTTATCTTCTTCCGGGAAGTGTTCTTAATTTGGTGTGGTCAAGGTACGAGTAGAGAGTAGAATTTTTATACTGTTCATTTTCTATCAAATAATTAAGTCAACTTTTACGCCAAAACATATGTAACTAGAAAGTCTTAAATTATGGGACTTATAAAGTATGTATGCAATACAAAATTATGAAAGCAAGTGAACGAACTAGTCAAGCATCTAAGTTTTAACCATATTCCATTCATTTCTATAAAATAATTAAGTCAACGTTTACCCAACATAACTCCTGTGACCTAAAGTATCTATGTATGCGATACAACAAGTTATCAAAGTAAGTACCTATTCAAGCATATATTAACTATATATACACTAAAAATGTCCCAATTCCTCGAGTCTAGAGCTTGAGGATCAAAGGCAGGTCACGAGCAAGAGACAAAGGAGAACGAAGAGGCACGAAGAGAACCCACAAAGAATAGATCCAAGATAGACCCAATGAGCTATACTAGACGAGCCAACCAATCACCATATGGCTGTAGAAATTTCCCTAGTTGAAGAAAACTATTGGATTTGACTTGCAAAGATCGTAAAATTGTACAAAGTCATTCTTTTTCCTGAAAATGACAATTTGTTGCTCATGAAGGGATGTTTTTGAGTTCCAGTAGCCAAGTATCAGTCAGCAATGTATATTTCCCAATACCATCACAAGTTTTATAGATCAGTCTTTAATTTTCACGGCTAAACCCGAGTATCAGACCATCCTGCATCATTGTTTACCAGAATCAATAAACGGTATATCCCCAAATATAACAACATTTGAATTTTACCAAATGTTGATCCTGGATATTCCGTAGAGATCAATCACGTACCTGAGGCTTTTGCAAATTTGGTGTTGGGGGGATAACCCACGCATTCATTACGATAAGCATAAAGTAGCACATCTCAAATTGTCTCAAACCAACCAAGCACAAGGTTTCCATACGGATCAACATATCAAAAGGAGAGAGAGCACTTTAGGAACATAGTCGACTCTTGAGTTTAGGGCCAAAATAGAGACACATCTTCTTTCTCGAGCTATCCAAATACATTGAAGAAAATAGACCATCCAGCGTAACTTTGACTTCGCACTTGACAAGAGAGCCGAAAGCAGAAAACCTTCAACTTCTTTAACTGCAAAAGAAGATATAAAGAGACTTCAACATAAGTCTTACCAGCACTTAACTTTGCAGAGATATGATAGAAAAAATTAAATAATACAATGCATACATACCCTTTGGAGTAGATTTCTAGTGAAAGCCACCAGCTCTGGGGCGGTCATATGGAGCAGTAGCACGACTGTGCCTCTCACCTCCTGGACCTCCACGGCTGCCACCATCCCGGCTACGTCCTCCAGCGCGTTCTCCACTGCGATCAGGTCCATAGCGACTACCTCCACCATCCCTACTACCATACCTATCATCCTTTGCACCATACCTATCATCTTTTGCACTGTACCTATCATCCTTGGAGCTGTACCTATCATCCTTGGAGCCGTACCTATCCTCTTTTGCACCATACCTATCGTCCTTAGCACTGTACCTATCGTCCTTTGAGCTGTACCTTCCGCCACCATCTCTACTACTTTCAGAAGGACACTCCCTTGCAAAATGTCCAGGCTTGCCACATTTAAAGCAATCTCCACCACCTCGCCCACCAGAGGGACGGCTACGATCACGATCATATCCACGATCACGACTGCGATCTCCATCATGATCTCTGCCTGACCCACCCTGATGTGGCTGGGCTTTATCAACAGTGATAGTTCGCCCATCTAAATCCATTCCATTCATTGCTGCAATAGCTTCATCCATTGCTTTTTTCTCATCAAAAGTGATGAACCCAAAACCACGGGAGCGACCAGAAAACTTGTCAAGAACCACCTGTGTATCAATAGACAAGGTTTATCTCTCATACGAGTTATGGTAATAAGAATAAGGTAGACATGACAAAGTTCAAATTGTCAAACAGACAAAACCCTAACTAGAATTGCAAAGACCAAGAAAATGATATCACACAACACTTCCACATCTCAGAAACTAGAAAAGCAGATTTCCACTAAAAGAGTTCAATTACTAAACAGACACGCCATAAACAGAGTTGCAAAGAGCAAACAAATTACTAAACATATCAAAGCTAAATTTTTTAAAACAGAAGCCTAAAAAACAAATCAAAATCTTCATCGTTTCAGTAACCAGATGAGCAGAGAGCCAGTGAAAGAGGATATAAGATTTACCTTGGCCTCAACGAGGTGACCGTACTTCTCAAAGGCATCTCTGAGACCACGATCAGACGTTGACCAAGCAAGCCCACCAATGAAACAACGGTACTCCGGGTCTTCAGACATCTTCTAAAACAAGTAGCAAAATTTTTTTTTAAGAAAGTAAATATGACTTGACTCCCAGAAAATCCAACAAACGCAACATAAATTCCTCTACAATAGCTAAAATAGAAACTTAACACTGCAGATCCAGAATATATACACAGCTAGAGAAGCCTAGAACACAATAATTCACATAAAGAGCGTGAAAGCAAATCTGAACTCGTTCTCTAAACATCAGGATAATATACTTACGAGATGTATCCACAAAGCTAATTTCAATTGATATCTACTAGCAAACAAACATATCTAGAAATCGTAATTACGCGATGGTAAACCCTAGAAACTTCAAATCAGAATCGGTACAAAGATGACGAGACATGCAAGCGAATCGATACATCGGTATAAACAAAGTATAAGAAAACGAGAAAATCATTACCAGAGAGTACGAGATCTGATCGTGATTTGCGACGGAACCCTAATTTCTGAGAAGAGGAGAAGCTGCAGAGAAACTTCGGCAAAACAACACAAGTGAAAGCAAACGATTCGATATATCTCGTATTCGACAGCTAACGGGGTAATTTCGTCATTTCATAAAAAATGGGCCTAAATAAATGGGCTTTATTGGGCCCATGTATAGGGTTTTGAAGAGAAGGTTTTAGTCGCCGTCGTCTTCGTTTTTCTCCATCTCCGTCTTCGTCTTCTCTTCAGCAGGTCTCTTTGACAAATTAGGGTTTTGGATTTAGGGAAAAAAAAAAGAGAGATGTGGTTTCTATGTGTATTCTATCACAGACTATTAGATTTCAGAAAGCCAGAAGTTGAAGCTTTAGCTGAACTCTTCGGAGAAGAGATTGCAGAGAATGAGTCTCTCCAATGGCGTTTACCTGAACATCATCATAACGATACTCCATTCCATTTCGTTCAACTTTCTTCAGAAGAAATCGCTCGTAACATTGCTAAAAGAAGCATATTGGTGAAAGGAATGTATGAGCTTTGGGGTCAAGGAACTTGTTATGAAGAGCTTAAAGAGTCGATTCAAAGTTACCCTGATTCACGAAAGCTTCCATTTCTAACTTCTGGTTCAACTTTTAGAATCTCTGTTGAAACTTTTGGAAAGGCTTTAACTTTTGAAGAGCAAAAGGATCGAATCCAGTCTCTTACTTATATCCCATTTGAGGTCTAATTCCGCTTTCTTGTTTCAGTCTCTTTTGGTTTCTTCTATCTTCATGGTTTTGATTCTTTGGTGATTTGATTGTTGCAGGGTCGTGTTGATTTGAAAAACCCAGATCACAACTTTTTTCTAATGGAAATGATTGAATCTGACGAGAACAATGGACTTCAACCTATTCTACAAAGGAGGATATTTTTTGGGAGGGAGGTTGGTTTTGCTGATAGGAAGCTTTTACCTACATTTCAGTTGAAATCTCGTACTTACCTTGGTCCGACTGCTATGGATGCTGAAATGGCTTTCTTGATGGCTAATCAAGCGAAAGCTACTTCGGGGAAACTTGTGTATGATCCTTTTGTTGGTACTGGGAGCATTCTTGTTTCTGCTGCTCGGTTTGGCGCAATGACAATGGTTTGCAACTATTCACCTTAGTTTCTTGTGAACCCCTTTTGGTGGTTTATGGATGTTAAACTGAGGATTGAGTTGTTGTATTAATTAGGGTGCAGATATTGATATCAGAGTAGTGCGTGATGGACGTGGTCCAGATTGTAATGTTTGGAGCAATTTTAAGCAGGTTAGTGGGACTTTATGTTTTCTTTCTTTCATTTTGATATCTCGGGTTCTTACATCTGTTAATACTTATGCAGTATGGATTACCTACGCCAGTAGCTTTACTTAGAATGGATAATAATGTTCCTCCTTGGCGTTCGGGGCTAAAGGAGGTAATGCTCTCTCTCTCAGTTCCTTCATTATTGTCTTTTGCATATTGACTAGAGATCACTGAGTTTATGTCTTATGTATCTATTGGTCCAGATCTTTGATGCAATTATCTGTGATCCACCTTACGGGGTTCGAGCTGGTGGACGTAAATCCGGTGGTCGGAAAATTCTTAGAGGAACAGTGGATCCTTACACTGTCCCTGATGACAAAAGAACAGATCACATTCCATCCACTGGTGCATATAGTCTAGTGGAGTGTGTTCATGATCTACTTCACCTTGCTGCAAGAATGCTGGTGATGAAAGGCAGGCTCGTCTTTTTCTTCCCGGTTTTGAGAGATGATACTGGCAGCGAGGTTAAGTTTCCCGAGCACCCGTGTTTCAAGTTAGTAGCTGTCTCTGAACAGATCCTGAGCTCGAGATACAGTCGGGTTCTGCTAACCATGGTGAAAGTAGAGCCTTATAGTGAAGATATTGAAGAAGCTGCTCGTTTAATGCATTTAGAGTTTAGAGAGAACCATCTTAAGTGGTTAGAGGATGGTAATATTCATTCCTCTGTTTTTAAACCCATTGATTCTTCTCAGATTCACACTGATCCCAAAACCTTTAAAGATCCAAAGCCTAAGTATAGAGGTAAGTATGTGTAAGCACTGAGTTTTGTGTTCTTTCTGTTGTATTCTGTTGCGTTTATGCTGAACAATGTCGTGTTTGACTCTCTTGTTGTTTCAATACAAATAGGGTTATTGGCAAATAAATGTGTTAAACAAAACAAAATACATAAAAAGGAGATGATAGACTCCAGGATTAACTACAAAAAAATATAACAATCAAGATTCTAAAATGTCTTCAAATATAACAAGAAGAGACATTCTCATAAGACACACGCCTTCGCTGAGCAGAAGACCAAAACGAAACAACGAGGCTCTGATTCCGAAGATGAACCAACCAAAGAAAGAACAAAGATTAGGGTTTTTATAAATATTTATTAATGAAATTATCTCTAAGTCTTCTTCAAAATCTGGGAACTGAGTAGAGTAGTTAAACATATCCCACATTTGGTTGTTCTTCGTTTTCTTCTTACCATCCTTCCCTAGAGGAAGACCTGTCGGAAACCCGAGATTCAGAAATTAATATGACATCGATTTACCAAATCTCGTTAAACTTAAGGTATGATGAGCCTAAATGCATCTTTTGTACCAACTCCGTATATCTCTAGACTTCTAATGAGATTTAGTCATTTAGATAGTAATGGGACTAACCTGTTGCTGAAGAATCCACGCTCTTTGCTTCCTTGGAAGTTTCTTCGCTGATCATCCACCGGTCTAACCCAGGCATCGACGGCACCACGTGATCTGGGTCTCTCTGTGGATTCAAAACTCCTAGTTTCATCAATTGATCCAGCCCGGGAATGTGTTCTTTCTGAATATGTTCCGGTTCTGCCTGCACCAGACCCGGGCCTCTCAACTGGTTTCTGTCTGAATCTGACTTTGTCGTCCAATTCACGGGTTAGTATTTCCAGATCTTTCTCTTTCCCACGTATTATTTCTGGTAAATCATTATGATTATTATTACTGCCAGGTTCTTGATCAGATTCCTTGATCTCTGGGGCGATGGATTCCTTCTCGAGTTTTTTCCTTAGTTCTTCAATCTCTTCTTTCAACATCTTCTCTTCTTCTGTTTCAGGCCTGGAAAAGTTGGTTTTTCACAACACTGAGATCAATAGCCGATTGTCATAAAGCTAAAAAAGAAGCATCACAGAGTTCATAACATAAGTATCACACAAGATGCATCTTAAAATCTAGGCGGAGACTATAGCATGCATAAACCGAATGTTATATACTTATATACCCAAGAGAAACAGGCAGAAACTATCTAACAGGCTCTGGAACTCATCAATGCACTGAGAGGCAGAATAAAAAATAACATACTAAAAACAATCACCAATGTCAAAAGAGCTCCATTGACCAAACATAAGTAGGACAAAGAGATGAAACAGAGTATCACACATTTTCAGAACTTCACATCATGTTGTGCGATCTGGAACTCATAGATGCATAATAACCATGAGACTCTATAACTAAAGTACAAAGAATCCCATTAGATAACTTCCACTAAGGATCTGAAACCTAAAGAAGAAATGGCAAACTATTATAAGTTCTCAGTTTCATATATTAAGACTGACTCTTGTGCCATAATGTACCAAGCAATTAAATATTACTAGAATATTCAGATAACTGCAGCGACATAAAATCAATGCAGAGCCACAATCCTCAGAGAAAACTTTAAAAGAATTCCAGATGAATAAGGACCTGTCAACCCTGCGATGCTCGAGTTCCATATCCATCTTACGCCAATCCTTCCCTTGTTCCTCTAGCAACACTTCTCTAGGCTTTGCATCACCAAAAGGATTCACTTTTGGTCTCGGTTTCACCACATTATTCAATCCTGAACTCTCAGACCTGTTAGATTGAGCACTAGAAGGTCTGCTCGAATGTGCACTCGTTGGCCTACTCGTTTGAGAACCTCCTTTCTTAGCCTCAATCTCTAAGTCAATCTTCTTCCAATCCAAACCTTTCTCAGCTAAAACATCCTCCCTCGGTCTAGCTGCTCCAAACGGGTTCGGCTTATTCGTCTTCTCAACAACAGGTGGAGTCTCTCCTGATTCAACCTTTCGTGGTTCCAAAACCAAACGACGACGTTCCTCCTGAACTCCACCACCTCCGGCTACTTCTCCTCTGGACCAACGGTCAGATTCACGGCCTGAATCACCAAAACTCGTCGACCCAAATGTAGATGATCTAACCGGTGCTTGCCTTTTCCCTGCACCCCAATTATCAACATCATCAGCTCTAGATAATCCACCACCTCCACCACCGCCTCCAAAACCACTTCCACCACCGCCTCCAAAACCACCTCCACCACCACCGTAACGACCTTGTCGTCCTTGATCAAAAGAAGGAAGTGGTTTCTTCGCTTTACCCCAATCATCAACCTCATCAGCTCTAGAAGGTTGAGCAAAATCCGAAACCCTAGACTGATTTCCCCTCCTATCATCATCAAATCCACCACCATAAGGTCTCCGTCCACCACCACCACCACCCCAAGACCCATCAGAATCATCTCGATCTCTCCCAATTCTTCCACCTGAACGACCACCATAAGATGAAAACCCACCGCCTAATCGACCAGGTTGCATTTCCTCCTCCGAGCGTTGTCTAGGACCAGTAGGTAATTGAAGAATCTCTTGCTGAGTCAATCCAACAGAGTTTCTACCTCCAGGTGCTGTATAAGCACCAGTAGTAAACTCAGATAAACTCATCTTCTTCATCTTCCTAGACTTAGCATTAGTAGCAGTCGCAGCAGCCTCTCTCAGGCTAGGAAAACTCTGTGTATCCGCCGTCGCAGCAGTAGCTTCCGCCGCTTGTTCTTCATCGGCACGCTCTGCTTCATCAGCCCAAGCCCCAATTCCAATTCCACCCCAAGGTTTCGACATCAATTCTTGAAATTCAGAATCTGACGAATTCTCTCAGATCTGAAATCGGAGATCGGAAAAAAGTAATAGATCTAGGGTTCCGATGAAAGCTTGAAAACCGGCAGAGAAATTTTATTCCTTTTGCGTGAAGATTGAAAAAATTGAGATTTATTCTCTTTGAAGCTGTTTTTTTTTCTTTGCATGCTTCTCAACGAAGGAGAGAATCGAGCCATCACGCGTTAGAGAAGCGCGTGAGTTACACTTCCAGTTGGTAGAGAGAGAAGAGAGGAAGTTACTGCTTTGATTGTGTAGCGCACGCGATGTGTAAGCAACTGGCGGTTGACTTTAATGAAATGAACGGTCTTTTTTTTTTTTTTTTCGTCAAATGAACGGTCATAAATCTATCATTTAATTGTTGTCAAAACAAATTAAAATGTTAGTATCATTCTTTGTTTTAAAAATTGCTACATGCTAGACCTAGCGATTAATCAATTAATTAGAGATTATACAGAAATTAAACAAAGAATAGTTTTAAGATTTATATCTTGTTATATTGTTTATATATTTAGTATCATAAAATAAATTGTAGATAGTTCTGGTGGTGTAATGGTTTAAGTTGTAGAAATTAAGTAACATGTCACGAATTCAAACTCTAGATCTACTCATAAATAATCAATTTTTAACTTTTTTTTTTTTTTTTCAACCACACATCATATATATGAAAAGAAGTGAACTCTCTCCATTTTTGTGACACATCAGCAAAGGAGAGAGAGAGTGACACGTGTCCATTCAAATAAAAAAAACTTACCTTTTCGCCTCCTCTTTTGCGTTTTCTGACTTTATTTCACCAGACTACAACATGCATTGATCAATGGCAACGTTGTCGACATAACTTGATCGCTCTCTTTTCTTCGATCTTTGATTCTTCGAGCTTCCATGTCTATCGGCTTCAACAACATCCGATTTCTGCATTAATCACATTTGATCCAAAGACTTTCAGATTCAAACGCCTGACAAGCAATCCTTCTTGAAAGGATATTCTTCATCGATTTTTAACTTAAATTACAAAAAATGAGTTTTTTTTACAGATCCAATTTATTGGCCGATTATATTAAAATCGCGGCGGCTGCATGCCGCTGCACGTTTTTCCGGCCAATAAATCGGCCGTGGAGAACACTTTTTGAATAAGGGTATCATTTTATTAATTTCCTTTAACTTAATTTGTTTTTATCAACTAATTTATTTTTAATGATATAGTAATCAAAATGATTATGATGTCAAAAAGATATATATATATTAAAATTTTAATCTAGCACATGTTAATAAGGAATATTATGCCAAACTAAAAACAAAAATCATTGAAATATTAAAAAATGTATATTAGCATTCCTCTTAAACTATCTTATTATATAAAATTTGGTTTTCAAAGTTAGTACTGACGTTCGTGACACATATCAAGTTTATTTTAATGAATTTTTTATATCAATGGAAATAAAAATTATATAAATGAAAAAATAAATTATATAAATAAAAACAAAATTATACACTAAATTTTACATCGTAAAAGCAAAAATATTATCTTTTAAGGGTATATAAAAAAGAAAATAATATAGTAATTTACTAATTCTTAAAAATCAAAATTATTATTTTTTGAATTTTATATTAAGAGAAAATTAGATATAAAACATAAAAATAATATATTATTTTTTATTATCTAAAGTTGCTAACTCACATTAACGCGACATGTATCAAGTAAAACATAAGATGTTGTCATATGTCAAGTCTAAATTTGTTAATAATGTAGTCAATCACTATTCTCATCTATGGAGTTTTGAATTTACTCATTTTTTCTTTGAATTTAATGTTTTGGACCCGTTTGTCTTTCTCTTTTGATCTGTTTTGAACCTCGAAAAATGACTTTTCAAGAGTCTTTGAAAAACCCACACAACAGACCCATCATCAAACCTAAATCATATGATGGTCTGTAAAGACATTCATCTACATATGATGTACACTTTTTAAGAACATTTTCTTATATGTGGTGAGATTTTAAGAATCTTGAAATTGAAGCTAACCAACTGGTCCATTTCGTAAAGCGCATCGAGGCTTTTCTTATCTGAGATTAGCTGGTACAATATTGTATGACATGAGAAATACTAACATTGCGTTTATTATGGAGAACTTTCATGCGCTTGAGGACCCGTTTGTCTTTGAGTTTAATATTTTGGACTCGTTTGTTTTTCTACCAGTTTCAACATCGGTTTAATCTTTTGAGCTCCATATCAGTCCCGTTCGGTTCGAGGTTAATTCTAAACCCTAAGCAAATCAAATCCTAACTAAATCAATTATATCATATTTGTCATATATATCACTTTTTGAAAAAAATAAAAAATATAAAGACGTTTTTTTTTAATATATTTTTCCAAAAAGCCTAGGAATCGTTCCTATTGGGCTTGATCAATAAACAATTTTATATTTTTCCCTTAAAAAAAAAAACTTACGCCTATATATATAAACATTTTGAAACCCTAGGACGCACCAAATCTCAAAATCACTTTTTCTCGATGACGATGAACTTGGAGCAAGCAGCAGCAAAGAAACCGAGAACAACGAATCGTAAAGGAAAAAGAAAAGTAGACGAAAACACATATTTGATCGTGAAGATAGGAAGATTCACAATCGATGACAACACTCTTTTGAATCCTTACTATGGCACTAAGAACTTTAGAGCTGTGGTATATACAGACCTCGAAGATCAATACCCAACACGAGTGTTAAGGGTTTATCATGGCGACAAGTTGAAGTTTAACGAACAGGTAACAATTCCTATAGATTCTCATGCACGTTATCTTTACGTAGAATTGCTTGGTGTATCGTCCAGGGAAGATCCTGGAACCTCCCGCGGAATTGTTGTGATGGGTCGGGCTAAGATTCGGTTGCCTCCTCCTCTTTACAGTCGCCAGATCAACCATAAAGCCAGCCTCGTCGCTTTGGATAGTAATCGATCTGTTGTGGAAAAGGGAACCCTAGCGATATCTATGAAACTTGATAGTTACGTAGAAAAGTTATGAAAATTCTTCATCTTAGGTTAGGTCTTGTTTTTTTTTTTTTAATAAACCTTTGTTGAGATTACTTTTCAGATTATTCGTCTTAATATCAAGAGTTTTTATAAGTTGTGGTTGATTTAATATTTTACGAAGCATGATCTTGCATTTTTTTTATTCGATATTATGTTGTTTTGTATTTTTCGATTATACAAGACTAATTTCATAGACTAAAGATGAAACATAACTACGATGAGAAAAGACGTTGTATGGAGAAGGTAAAAGAAATGCCTGTTGATCTGATATAGTCAGGCATGGCTACAATGAAGAACAAACAGAGCAGGACCATGAGGTTCGACTTGAATCGATACCGAATCTTTTGTTGGTCCGAAATTTTTGCCACTCCATAGCTCGTGGCTTGTACACGAAGCTCCTTCAAGATTTTTCTTGTTTGGAAGAGCTTTGGCAATGTCTGATATCTTGGCTGATATCGTTGTCTTCTCCTGATTTAAGTTGAAAAACGCAACGTATACTTCTCCTCTTCTTCCCGTGGCAATCCAAGAACGAACGCCATTTGAGGTAGCTTCGGCTGCTGCAAGATGGGTGACAATGTCAAGGATTGGAAAAGGGTATGCTGACGAAAAGAGAGGAGAATTTAGTTGATCTAAACGGAACAAACCTTTCACTGGATTTAACACGGCACAAAGACCGGAATAACTATTTTCTAGTGTTCCATTACTGTGGAGCTCCCACATCTAAAGGTAAGTGAGTGTCACATTAAGTAAACTTATTAAATTGAAGATGGATGTTAAGGTAATAAGTGAGAGAGATAGAAAATCGATGTACCTGGTTTGCATCTAGTTTGCAAGGTGATAAAGTACCACGACTATAATCTTTCGAAGTGAGCTTTTGCTTTGAGGAAGCTCCTAAACAAGACTCTGCTTTTTCATTTGTTTGCAAATGAAGCTTACCTTGGTAAAGCTGGTTGTGCTTTATCTCCTCATCGCTGCACCAAAATGAAACAGTAAAAATCAGCTAAGGGTGGTTTATAAAATGTAAAGTGAGTGGAAGAAAAAGTTTAAACAGAGAATCATACGACGCTGGAAGAGCTTTTCTGTTGTATAAGCAAAAGGGTTTCTCTAGTTTTTGGCTAGAGTATTGGTTCCAACAGATTTGTCCACGGTTCTTGTCTACAATGGACCAAGTGTTGGCTTTCGGTTCTTTGCAGCTAGTGAGACCAAAGGCATGTTTAGTTGAAATGTTGTTGCCCGTTGGATGATGAGGATGGCTTTTGTGCTTATTCCTAGATACTCTTGTCACGGTGATGTAAGGAAACTACAAAGAAACAGGTAAAGTTTGATGCTTAATAGTTTGTAATTTCAAAATAGAGATATGAGTTTGAAGATTGAAGTGTTATGAACACACACCTCCTTGTTGTTAGAGCTATAAGAGTTTATTTCCAGCAGTGTAGGATTTGTGATCAGATTATAAGTAGTGTCATCGAGCTTTCTCACATCACCTCCAAACATGAGCGGGGACTTTGCGATGGACCACAATGTCATCTGAATAAACAATAAAAAAGGCATAGGAAATTTGAACTTGTGGTTTAGAAGGTTACTAATAAACTATGATCCTTGAAGCTAGAGATATACCTGTGACTTCTGTTCTTCAAGATTTAGATTACACACTCGATGAGGTCCAAAATTCGAACCTATACCAAACATTATAAAAAGACAAACGTTCATTGGAACCATATACAGAGTTAAATATCAAGATTTTAAGTCAAACCTTGATCAGTAAGCCATCCAAGAGGTAACATATCTAGATCAGGCCATGATTTTCCTTGCAACCCTCGTGCACCGATCATACTAGAAGCAGATAAATCTCTGGAAGAATAGAAAATTATCTGACATCAAAGAAAGGTAGATACTTGGCAAGAGTATTTTTCAGCTTGAAACTTGACCTCGAGATATCAAAATGTGCCGCCACATCTTTCCATGTATCCCAATCATCACCTGTTATTCTGTACATGTTAACCAATTGGCTAACTTCTTTAGCCATTGCAGGTGTCACACTGGTCCCAGGAGATATGGAGTACAAAACAGGCCGATCAAGCTCCCTTAGAACCTGCGAAAATAAGAAAAATATTTCATCCCTATGTACGTCTGACTTTAACCAGAAGATTGCTAGTTATTAAAAATATGTACCTCTGACACATAAGTTATCTCCTCTATATTGAAGTCAGTGCCAAATACGCAGTCATGTTTTACTAAAGACCAGGAAAGTGAGACAAGATTGAGATATTCATATATTGAATTCAGAGAAAGAAGGTTACAGATATGAAGTCGATTCTCTTACTGAAATCAATGCCCCATTCTGCATATTGTCGATAAAGAGACCTCAAGAATGCTTTTCCTGCACCTAGCTTGGTATTCACACTCATGAATCCATGTGACATCCACACACAAGCCTTCTCCTTGATCCCAATATCTTTCGCTCGCCACTGTCTACCCGATTCTTCATAAGCCCCTCCCTTTAACCAAAACGAAGTCAATTCAATTGTTACTTCCTTACAAACTTCATAAACCCGAAAAGATATCGAAAACCAAATTACCTTAACACTATCCATAACAAGAGTATTAGCGTTATAAGCTTGTGTGCTTATCCCTCCCATAACATGAATCCCAAACTTCAAACCCATTCTATGAACTTTCTCTGCCACTTCAGTGAAACCTTTACCACCTCTAGAAGATGGCCATCTAGCTGGATCAGGATGCAATCTTCCCCATTCATCAATCACATCAAACCCAAGAGAATCCACATAAGCCCCTTCAACTTTCTTTCTATACCAAAGATAATCCACCACAACATACTGTACCCAAATCCACACACACACAAACACAGGCAATTAAAAACCCAAACTTTCACATTCTAAATGACAAAGAAACTCAATTTCCACTAGGGTTTGGTGTTTATGCATTTACCTGATAACCATGAGGAAGAAGACGCTTAGAAACAATTTCAGCACTTTGCAAGAACTCAGCTTCAGAGATAGTCCAACAAAAGGAATCGTACGAATTCCATCCTCTTGGAGGAAAGCTAGCATGTTGTTGGCTCGACCTTGCTTCAATCGATAAACTGAAAAAAGATGAACTTTTTGCGATTGATCGATCACATACACACAAAAACCAAAATCAAAATCAAAAACCCATTTTCATTACCTTAAAAAGGAAAGATTGAGGAGGATGATAAAGAAGACAATGAACCGGGTCGACCCGGGTTTCTCTACGGATGGTCCAGTCATAGCGATGAGACCTGATTACGATGGCTTCTGATTTTGTTTGCCTCTTATGTTGTTGAGAACCTGAGAGTGAGAGAGAAGACAACACGCAATTGTTGTGTTAGTGGCGGGTACTTACTATTACTAGAGAGCGTAACAAGAATTAAGAATTAGATTAGTAACCGTTGAGCTAATTATCTTCTAAATAAAAATTGTTGATTTTACAATTTAGTGCATCAATTTGATAAAATTTAATATAAAAAAACTTTTTTTTTTCTTCACTAGGAACTTTACATAATGTCAAAATGATTACAAAGATGGTAAGTGAAGAAGACTTCAAAGATTTGAAAAGTTAAAAGAAAAAAAAACTACGAATCTCTATAGTTTTGTTGCTCCTCATCAGACAAAATCCAAGACGAAACTCATCTCTTCTTTATAAACCAAAACAAAAGCATCATCATCAAGCTTTACACATGCATGGAGTGAGAGGATTTTCCCAAAGATCATAGTTAGGGAAAGTTTCTTCGGGTAAACCGGTTCGTGTTTGATGGGTTACAACTACATCTTCCACAAAAGTTGCCCATCCCATGTAAGGATCCCCGAATGATTTCGACATTAACCCTTTGTCTGGTTTGATTGATTTTTGCCGATGACCCATATATCTACGCGCTCCAATGATGAGTTTTGCAAAGTTTCCACCGTGTGTCATCACGAATACATCTGATTTCAAGCAGACCAAGAAATCTAGAGCTGCGAGGCTTGTTACGTGTTTTCTAAAGGTTGTTAGTTCCTCTTTTCCTGCTAGATCCTCCTTTGTTACCTGATTCAAAAAGGAAGGTTGTGGTAAGAGACGAGCATGCTGACTGATCATAGAATTTGATGAGATGGAGTCTGGTGCTGTGCTTACCAAATTTGGGAACATATTTCTTAGTGGAGCCATACGGTTTTGGCCGCCATAGACTTGACCAGATGCAACATAGATTTGTGTTTCTTTTGGATAACCCATCGCGCGTAGGATCACAGCAACTTCTCCTGGCTCAAGAGGGCATCGGCCTTCTTTGCGTTTCTGCAAGGCGAGCTGCCAGAGATGGGAACCATTCTGCAATATATGTCAAGAAATTTCATTAAGGCAACAGTTGAGGTTGTTTAGCCACCAAAAAGAAGTTATCAACTGCTTATAAATGTCACCTTGAAACGCCGAGGCCATTCCTTTTGTCTGTATTCTGCCATTTTAACTTTCTCTTCCCTTGTCCCCACGAAATCACAGAACGATAAACCAACCATTCCTTTCTCGAATCTAAGATGAAGAGCCCTATACAAGAGACATGGATATAGTTTTGAGTCGAAATAATGCATAATATCCCAAGTTAAAACAAAGTTCTCGATGTCTGATATCACCATACATATACGGATTCAGATTGCCAGTGCGATTTCTCATTCTAGAAACAAGTGAGTCAGCCATCTGCTCTATCTCTGGGAGAAATTTGAGAGCATGATAATTTACACGGCATCGCAATCTGTTGATTTCTTGAGGTACATTGTCGTACCTGAAAAGTTTCCAGCACCACAAGGATATATCATTCATCGATTACAAGAAAATTTCTGAAAGCCTGAGCTCTATACTATAGAATAAAGAGTATACCCAAGTCGATCGACAAAAGGCTTTAAGGCCATTATCTTCTTCTCCTTTATACGAGGTAAAACATTGTCTATATAAAATTGGGCTGCTGCATATTTGGGAATGTTTTTGACTGTTCTTCTGCAGAAGATTAATAAATAACTCGGTCAACATCATATCTGATTAAAAAAATCCTGATCGATTATTTAATAGATATATACACAAGGAGCACCCAATGACGCCATAAATCTACAAGCTCACTTTTGAGATCGTCAAACAAGTTCTTCATTAAACAAACAAAAAGAGAGTTGACAAGCAAACCTTATGCTGGAGAATAGCTCTGCTTTGTCAGTGAACCAGTCAGGTATGTCTCGAACAATTCGGACATCATCCTTCAAGTAATCAATGAAATGATCTACATCAAAAATGTCTTCAAATTTTCTGCAAAATAAAGTTAACAGACTCAGTAAACTAAAAAGAAATTAGAGAAGTAATTCAAGAGGAAATGAAATCAATATCTGAATATGATTTTACGTTGTGTCTTTCCATATTTGGTCCTGCTTCAGTACTGGTAGAATCAGAGTTGCATTCATAATCTTAGCAACGGCTACTGCATTACAGATCTGCAAACAAATTGCATAACTCAAATTTCCAAAATGAAAAAGAAAACAACAGCCATTTGATATTGAACCATGATTGGACAAGGTCAAAGAAGAAAAAGAGAAAAAAGCATGGAAGATACATACAGCAATTCGCTGCTGATTCAAACCACCTTCAGCATGAATGAATACATAGCCATTTGTTTCGTTCTCAGGAGGAAGATCTGAAAAAAACAGTTGATACAATCTAATAAGCTAACTAATAATGGAAAAAGGCTTGACCTTTCACGAAAAGACAGATCAAGAACACATGACAATGACAAAGTCAATCCTCTAAACCCTTAATACCTGAGATTCCACCAACCCGCCGCTCAGCACAAGGCTTCCAAGAAGTTGTTGCAGATAAAGGATTCTCCCATGGAGAAGGAGACTCTTTTACCTTACAAATGCAAACCAACACAAGATTCAAAGCTAATGCATTCAACAAAACACATAAACCAAAGTTTTCAAACACTTACATGAGGACAGTTAAGCACAATCCCATCTTTTTTACACAAATATGGAGCATTCTGCAGAAACCAAAGATAGACATAGAAGCAATCTTACTCTAAGAACAATGTCAATCCAAAACAAAGCTAAACACTTTCCCAAATCGATTCAACAATTTGAACATAAAGCTTTGAAGATCTCAATTCCTAGATCGAAAGAAGAGACTTACCAAGTGATTAATAATCCCATAAACTGAGATCAAGCTAGCAATAGCGAGAATCAAAATCAATAGAAGCGAGATTTTATTCTTCTGAGGAGAAACCCTAGGATCATCACCGAAGAAAGGAAACAAAGAGTGAAACCAGATCGGACGGTCTCGATCTCTTGAAGGATGACGTGGTCGACCATCTTCGTCGTCTCCGCCGTTAGGTGAGTGATCGTGTACGTGAGGCGATGAAGAGTCCTCATCTCCGGCACGTAACGGAGAAGAAGAAGATCGGCTACCGAGAGAGCTCGAGTGCCGTAACTCAGCCATTGCTCGCCTCGGACTAAAAGTCGCCAGCTTAATTTCTATATTCTCTCTTCCTCTTCTTCGTCTTCTTCGCTTACTCTATGGATAGATACAGTTCTTCAGCTTTACTATGCGGACGCTGCCATGTGAGAGGAGCTTGGAGATTCGAACACTCCACAGAGAGAGAAATTAAAGAAGCTTTTTTTTTTTTGTAAGGCTTGAATGTTGTTCTTCAAAGTCAATACTCTCTAAATCAAACAGAGGATTAGATTTAAGGCTATTTACAAACACATCCCTATAGGTTATTAAAAAAGTTTTACAATGGTAATACACAAAAGAGAATAGCCAAGACAAAAACATAATAAAACAAGGTTACAATAGAGAAAGGAAAGATTTGAATAACTATCGGATCCATAGAAGCATTAGGTTGCGCCAACGCTTCCTTCGCCGTCTTGATGTGATTAGTTTTATGTAGTCTACATGTTTTTAATTTGACAAAATCATTTTGCTAAGCAAAAATGTTTAACATATGGTAAGCTTGTGGAAAATTCATATGAAATGACTTGTTTACTTTTGGGAGTAGTCATCGTTGGCTTATAGCTTCGATCACATGAGAAATCGACGACCGATTAACTGCTACTGTTATTTAAAAAAAAAAAACAAAAATCAAACAGTAAAAAAGTAATTAATTTCATGTAGTCTGTATGTTTTTACTTTTTAATTTCACAAAATCATTTTGCTAAGTAAAAATGTTTAACATGTGGTAGGTTTGTGGAAAATTCATACCAAATACTTGTTTACTTTTGGGGATTAGATATAGTTAGGGGTGTCAAAATGGATTGAAATTAATGGATCAATCCAAACCAATCCAATCCATGGATCAATCCAAACCAATCCAATCCATGGATCTAATGAAAGAGAAATTTGGATCTAAATGAATTAATGGATTAATGAGTTTAATGAATTGGATTGAAATGGTTTGAATTATTATAGATTAATGGATTACTCATAACCAAACCAATAGAAATTAAACATTCTAAATCAAATATGTAAACCGAATTTAACCGAGTAAAATGTCTAAACCGATTAGTAAACCGCAGAAAAAAACCTAAATGAAGCTCGATCTCTCTTCCATCGATCTCTCACCAGTAGTCACCACCATCGATTTTTCTTCCTCAGCCTCAGAACTCTCACCACCATCGATCTCTCACCACCATCTTACACTCCCGGCCAGGTAGGATCTACTTTATTCTCCGATTGGGAAAATCTCAGGTGAAATTTGTTGAGATTATCATGTGATTATGCTTTCTTCGATTCTACTGTTTTTGGGTTTTGCTTTTTCTTCACCTGTGCTGGGATTTTATTTACATTCTCTGTCACTAAGGAGCTCAATTTTAGGATTAACCCATAAAAATTTGAAGATGAATCTCTCTTTGCTGTTTCTGTTCCTTTGCGTTATGTCTAATCTGTGACTTGATTTTTTGGGAATCTGTGGATTTGTATTTCTTGTAGATAGTTTTGCAAATGTGGGTTTTCGTCAAATGTGGCAAAACTTTTTTCTGGCTAGCTTCTTTGTTTCTTGGTGTCGCATATGCTTGTTTATAGTTCTCTTTCTCCATCGAGCTATGTAATCTGCTGATTGATGTTTATAAGATACTAGTATTTTTCTCTCTCTTTGTGTTTTGCTTTGTGGCTGCTTGTAAGAGAGTCTACTTGTGAAATTTTAATCATTATTTTTGCTTTCCTGGTTTGGTGAATGTGGATTTTGTTTGATGAAACCTGTCTTACTACTATTTCATTGAGTGTTGTTTTATGTCTGGTCAGTCTAGCTTTTTGGGAGTTTCTTATGCTCTTGCTTGTTTCATTGAATCATCATTATGTCCATTTAAAACCAGGGTTGTCAAAGAGATATTTTTTTATTTTGTGATTCTCGTTATTGAAAGTGTTGAAATTGGCAAGAACTAGTGATTAATACGTGCTCTTAATGCTTTGGGACTGTGTTGTTAATTTTATGAACTCTTTCTTTGTCATTGTTCATTGAGTTTCACAAATTTAAGAGTTTGTTTGTTAATAATTTGTTCATTGATGGATACTGTTCTATTGTCATATGCTCTGTTTCTTTGCTCTATTCTAAGAAATTTTAACTCTGGTCTAAGTCAATCACTGAGTGCTTCATCTGATTTGAAATCTGCAGACTTATATAGTGATATTTACAAAACCCATCATCCATTATACACTAAACCCATATGGATATGGATTGGTTTGGTTTGGTTTAACCAACTTGACACCCCTAGATATAGTGATATTTACAAACACATCCATATATCTCATCATATTTACATAATCATCCTTTAATTCTCTGATTTTTTCTCATTTCCTCCATCGCCTCTATTTTTAACCTAGACGACATTCTCCATCATCAGTCAAACTGGCTCTTTGATCTCTCCGGCGAGATTCCGACCGGTAAGTCGAATTCAGATCCGATTAATTTCTCTCTCCAATCCCATCTACTTTCTCAGCAATGACGATTTTGTAACCTGAATTTGCAGAAAACAAAGTAAAAGAGAGAAGAACAAATCTGAAAAAAGATGAACACGATAGCGAAGCGAGTTACGGGATTCATGACTCGGAACCACCAGTTGCAGCAGGAGCGAGGGATAAGAGTGAAGGTGTTTTCCAATGATCTTGACAAAGCATTGACGATTTTGCAGAAGAAGATGCAATCAAGTGGAATGGAGAGGCTTATCAAAGGGACTCAGACTCATCACATTAAGAATTCGGAGAAGAAGGTTCTCGCTAGGAAGAATCTTGAACGCAGAATCAAATCCATTGACTTTGCTCGCAAACTCCAATCCATCCTCATCAAGAAAGTCAGGTATGTTCACATTTTAGGGTTTAATGGTGTTGTATGGTTCGAAAGATTTCTGGAATCATGTTTAAAACTCTTGTTTTGATACAGAGTAATGTATTTATGGGCTTTTTCATTTTTTCTTCGTTGCAGAGGTTTATGAGAGCTGAGTGGAAGCAACAGTGCTGCTATAACCATTCATCGTTTTCTTTCCATTAAGTTTTCGGGGAATTAATGTTGATCAGTACTAGTATGTGTGTGTGATATAACACAGTTTTACATTTTGAACTTTTGATAATGGAATCAATGTGGAATTGGTATAATTTTGGATGACCATATTGTTTTCTCTATGAATAATCTTATTCCCAAACAGAAAGGTTTCATTTTTCTTAGTTTTTCACAATCATTTTTCATTAGGGAGATATCTGATCGAAGTACATGTACACAGAGTTGTTTCTGAGATCTTTGATAATTTCATGACAGGACACAGTGTCCTGCTTCGCTGCTTGAATTGGCTTTCTTGTTCCAGCCATTATAACGCTGAGATTGTTCTGCTTTCTTCGCGTATATAGCTTTGGTTCACTTTTTCCAGGCTTTTGCACCTTCATTTTCTGCAAATACATTTTTTCTTACTCATCTGTGATTGCTCCTAAGATCGCTGGAAAGTATCTTTTGTATTTGTTCAATTCCATTGTTTGCTTCCACTTTGACTAATATCTATTTGGTCAGGCTTGGTAGTTGTCTCCACCGCATTAAACGTCATTGCAGAGTCTGATTTCCATGATTGGTGTTGTGGACATTGATCAGAGTACCTATCTGCTGAAGCAAAGTTTTCTCATAAGATTGGTGCTGCTAGCAAGAAAATCTATTTTAACCCAAAACGAGAATCAGATCATGGCATTCTTGATCTTTAGGAGACATAATAACATTAACAGGTTCATAGTTTACTGAAATATCTAACAAGTGCTACCTCTAATGATCTGTCTTCTTTATAGTGGGATGTATCTGTTTGCTGCATCAAGGACTCATCCTCTTCTGTCTTCTTCTCTATTGGAATGTTCTTGAGATCAAAGTTACCATCTTGGATTCTGGATCATAATGGGTGTATCCTCCCCACCGACCAGATGAATGATATGGTAAAAAGGGTTTAGTTTCCTCAAAGCAAAGAGTAATCATACCATCTCAAAAGGAGAGTAGAAATTTTACTTGAGGAAACTGTAGGAGTCCAAGATGATGAAGTGGTACGTAACATCTCCCTCTCTGAACCATCTGACATATTAAGGATTGAGGTTTCTGAGCTGCTGAAACTGAAAATATTAGCAGGCACTAACTAAAGATTACTTGTGTTGCATTTGAGTTGTTTCTAAAATGCTACCGTTGTTTGTTAAAACTTAAAAGTTCATCTCATTTTCTTAGATATGTTCGTCAGAAAAAGTTAAGTGCTCTGAGAATAAACATCTTTCCTCTGGAATGAGCTGAAGATGGATCGATTTATATATACTTCAGTGACCTGTTACTGTAAGCTCTTAAACCTATCTCTCCTATAAATCGAGATCTATATAGTTTTTTAGAGAAATTGGACTGAGTAATTACAATTTTGTTAATAAAATTATGAATGAGAAAAGAAAGAGAATGTTTTTATAGTTTTTCTTTCTTTTTGTTTTATCTTTAGAGATTAGAAACTGATTTTGATTTAATGCAAGGAATCTACAAAAAGATTACTTGCTTCGTTCTATCACTTTCCTTCTTTATTTTGTTTTCTACAACAAGAATCCTTACTTGAACTTGTCACCAAGTTATTCTCTCTCTCCCTCTCTATCTCATTTAGAAATTAAAAACAGTTCAAATCTCTCTGTTCTCATTCTTTCATCTCAAGTCTTACTTAACTTAGTTTCCTTTGATGCTTTTTAGCTTCTTCATCTAAATGTCTCATCATCATCACCATGAAACCAACCCTCATTTCGCCCTAATTCCATCGCAGAATCCACATCTCAAAGGCGGTGCTTCTACCTCACAAACATCTCCGCACCAACCACTCATCCAGCCCATTCCACACCAAAAAAACCCGCACCATAAAACTACGCAACCTCACCCAGTCGCTCCACCCGGAATCCTAATCAAGACTCGTGGTCGCCACCGTGAAAAACCAATCCAAGAACCGAAACATTCTGTAATACCTTTACCATTAAGCCGAGAAGATAAACTACCACCACGAAAAACTCCAAACTCTGCGAAAAGACCATTGCTATTTAGCCCTGAAGATCAACAACAACAACAACAACAACAACAACAACAACAACAACAACAAAGACCTCCACTACCACTACGCAGCGGAGGCGGTTATGGATCAACATTACCTCCAATACCCAAACCAAGTCCATGGAGAACCGCTCCAACTCCATCCCCACATCACCGTGGTGGCCCACGGTTACTGCCGCCCTCAAGAGAGACAAACGCAATGACATGGTCAGCTGCATTTTGTTGTGCAATATTCTGGGTCATTCTTATTCTCGGCGGTCTTATTATCCTAATCGTTTACCTCGTGTACCGTCCTCGCTCTCCTTACATGGACATCTCAGCTGCTAACCTAAACGCTGCTTATCTCGACATGGGGTTTCTTTTAAATGGTGATCTAACCATTTTAGCAAACGTCACAAACCCAAGCAAGAAAAGTAGTGTGGAGTTTAGCTATGTGACGTTCGAGCTTTACTATTACAACACACTCATAGCGACTCAATACATTGAACCTTTTAATGTTCCTAAGAAAACGTCGATGTTTGCGAGTGTTCATCTTGTGAGCAGTCAGGTCCAGCTTCAGCCAACGCAGAGTCGGGAGCTGCAGCGTCAGATTGAAACCGGTCCGGTTTTGTTGATCCTCAGAGGAACGTTTCATGCACGTTCATATTTTGGACCATTGTTTAGGTACTCTTATTGGTTGCATACTCATTGTAGCGTTTCATTGAATAGTCCTCCTTCAGGAGCTATGCGCGCTAAAAGATGCAATACCAAACGCTAGCGTTTTGCGATTGCGTTTGCTCCTTTTTTTTCATTTTCCTTTTTTTGCCATTTTTAGAAATATTTAATCTTCTGTATTCATTGGTACTAATTGTTAATCATTTGATTTTAATTGCGTCATTAGTTTTTGTAAAGTAGAATGTTCCAAACTTAAGAGGCTGTTTTAAGACTTTTTTTAACTTTATAAATTTCACAAGGAAAGAAAAGAATAATATTTCAAGGAGGTGTTATTGGTTTATGAATTTTAATTGAATTAGAATTTCACATCAGATTTGGAAACCCTTGTTGATTTTATTATTTTATAACCAAACATGTAGATTTTAGAATCAAACAAGATTTTAACATAAATTTTTTTCACCATTGTATTTTAAAATCTGTTAAAACCCAATGTAAAATCAATGAAAAATCGATATTAAAAAAAAAATTAACAAACGAATAACACCTTAGAAAATTTGATCGAAATCTTTTGATTTCATATCGTATTCATAGAAACATTAACAAAAAGGTAAGAAGAAAAGGCCCATTAATGGCCCATGAAGCCCAACATAATGAACACTGTCGTTAAACTTAGGCGGTATGACCCGAAATGACTCAACCCGACCCGCTCGCCCATATCTGGCCCCGTTCAGTTTGCCCGGAGCTCAAGAAACATCCCTCCATAATTTGCTTCTCCATTGTCCACTTCTCTCTCTCACATTTCTTCTTCTTCGTTAATTTTGCTTCTCGATTTCGTTCTTCAGGTATGTCTCAGGTCCCTAATTGTCGTTACTTTGACTTTACACTGAAATATTAGGGTTTATGGTTTATCTCGTGCTAGATCCGATTTGAACTGTGAAAGGAAGATCTTTTGTTAATACCCTGATTTGGGTATCTCTCAAGCTTCATAATTTATTGAATAATTGTGGGTATTCGATGATTCTGTAGGAATTTGACAATGAAGCTTGACACTAGTGGATTGGAGACAACTATGCCTGTGATTGGTTTTGGATCAAACAGCGAGATGCTTGATGGGTTTTCGTCTGTACCTTCGTTTGATCTTCCTCGTACCACCGATGTGAGATTTAGTTTCGAAATTCAATATCTTTCGGATTCCAAAATGATTTGGTTTTGCTTTTATTTGATTGTGAGTTTTGCTTTGTTTTTTTAGTTTGATGGGTTTCAGAAAAAAGCTGTGGAGATGGTGAAGCCTGCAAAGGGTACAACTACACTTGCGTTTATCTTTAAAGAAGGTGTTATGGTTGCTGCTGATTCTCGAGCAAGCATGGGAGGATATATCTGTATGTTTCTCTTTTGAATATTTTTTTTCCATGTTTATTTCTGTTTCTGCATGTGTTTTAGTTGTGAGCTCTCTAAAGAATCCTGAAAATGGAGAATGAATTAGATTCTTATTGGTACGAATTTCTGTGTAGGATTGTTATACAAATTTCTAATTTTTGGTGTGCTGGCCGCTAGTGATAGTGTAAAGTAAAAGAAAGGAGAAATTTGTGTGATTGCTCATGTTTTGTTTGTGTTTTTCCAATCAGCGTCGCAGTCTGTGAAGAAGATTATTGAAATTAATCCTTATATGCTTGGTACAATGGCTGGTGGAGCTGCTGATTGCCAATTTTGGCACAGAAATCTGGGAATTAAGGTACCTAACGTTAATTTTGTCAGCTTTCTAAATTGATGGTTGGGTCTATCAGTTATCTTCCTTGTTGTGGCAATCCGGTTACGTCTTACCTGTCCTTTGTTCATATAGCGAATGTATTGATATCCGAAAGCTGTTGAGTCATTTGTTGGAGACTTATAAATGTTGTGTATCCGTCTCTTTCCTAGAATAAGAATAGTCTTTTTTATCTGTCTGGTGACCTAAGAACATGTGTCTCTTTCGATTCTAGGCATGTATTATCTGTGTGGTGTGGTGTGGTGACTTTAGCGCCTCTGTACTGTGAACTAAACATTTCCAAATCTTTATGCATTAATCTTTTCGTTATGGAATTGTTGTCTTGCATACATATGGGTTCTTTGAGTTCTTGTATCTACAATCAAGTCCCAGTTTTATCCTAATAGTTTGATTACTAACTTGTATACCAAATCTGTACTATGTTGAAGTATTTCTATTGTATATCAAATCTGGACTCTATGTCTCTAACAGAGAGTGTGGTTTGTTTGTGTATCCTAGTGCCGTCTACATGAGCTGGCAAACAAAAGGAGAATCTCTGTTTCAGGAGCTTCAAAGCTTCTTGCTAACATGCTCTATTCCTACCGTGGAATGGGACTTTCTGTTGGCACAATGATTGCTGGATGGGATGAAACTGTCAGTAATCCAGACTTTATATATCCTAACCGTTATTCCTTTCCCGGTCTATAATTTCACTCAGCAAAGCGAAATGTTGAGATGCTAAAATTGTCATCTTTTTTGCAATAGGGCCCTGGATTGTACTATGTTGACAACGAAGGAGGACGACTTAAGGGAGACAGATTCTCTGTCGGTTCCGGTTCACCATACGCTTATGGTGTTCTGGACAGCGGGTACGTCTCTATTTCAAGAAATCATCATTGCCCTACTTATCTTTTAGTCCAATCCTAAACCAAAATAAGATCTTGCTTTACTATTATAACCACTCTTATGGTTCTTCTTTTTGTTGACAGATACAAATTCGATATGTCAGTTGAAGAAGCCTCGGAGTTAGCAAGGAGATCCATATACCATGCTACATTCCGTGATGGAGCTAGTGGTGGAGTTGCTAGCGGTAAAGATCAATCCAACATTATCTTGTGATCCCTTTCCTCTAATTGCAAGATTCTAATTTTAGAGATGTATTAAAACTTTCTTAAATCTGTATGATCAGTGTACCACGTTGGGCCTCAAGGATGGACGAAACTCTCTGGAGATGACGTTGGCGAGCTACATTACCATTATTACCCCGTGACTCCAGTCACCGCGGAACATGTGATGGAAGAGGCTGCCGAATAAATACTGTGATTCTTCTCTATCTTTCAAAGAGATTTATTACATCACTTATGTTTTGTTCTTCTATGAACAGAATCATAGATTCATCATGTTTCATTTGTATTGCAAATGATGTAGACGTTAGTCTGGCCACAATGATCAGGTTGGATAATAGAATTTTTTTTTTTTCCATGGTATTTGTTGTACTATGTAGATCCAAGTATATCCAAAAAATGTCCCTTACTGCTTAATTATCTAGAAAATTTACTCTTAAGAACATTTGACTAATCAAACATTTTCTATTGGTCTATATAACAGGTGCCCTTACGAATCACTAATTGTTACATGTATTAGACGTGTTATATTTAGAGTATGACCTTAGTTATATCAAACAATCCAAATACTATAAAGTTAAAGTTAAACTGATATTGCTAAGAAATTAGCCTAATATACTTACAAGTGGTGCTAAGAAAAATACGACCAAGTTAAAAGACTACTAGATAACAACCCGCACGATGTGCGGGATGAAGTGATTCAAGTAAAATTATTATGATTAAAATTATTATCCGGGATCTAAGACCAGTTTGTGTAAAACGAAACATGTTACAATTTTTTTTTTTTTTTTAATTCAAATTTGGGACTATTTCATATAAGAATATGTTTTACCCGTGAAATATTTGAACCTTGAATAAAGCTTCAACGTTATAAAAAAGTATTGACGAAATGTTACCATTTATGGCAATATGTCTTTCCGTATGTTTTAAAGATTTCGAGATTTTGTAGTATAAAAAGATTTTTTTTTTTAATAAGTATAAGAAATCCAAAATTTAGCAAAGATGAGATTTGATAGTTTCCAAGCTAAGATTTTGTAGTGTTCTAAATCTACGATTCTTAGATTATGAATGGATTATTTACGAAATGGTTATAATGTGGCCAGATTTTGGTTTATATACAAATGTGGTTATAATGTTTTTCTTCGAAAAATTAGAATTCCTCCAAAAAAAGGATTTTAAGTATTCGTAACATATATAGAAAGGAGATTATCTTATTTATCTAAGTACAAAATTTATGAAAGATGTAAAGATTTTGTAGTTTTGAATTCGAGATTCTTGAACCAAATGTATATATTTTATTATTTAAATATAAACATAAATAAAAAGATTGTTTACCCATCCTCTAAAGAAAATTTATATAAATGTATATAAAAAAATAAACTTACGTATATTAAAGGAAACAAGAAATGGTCCGTGACGAAACATGAAGAGCCAAAAAGAACCATACTTAGGAAAAGCGATGGTGGAGCCTCTAGGGTTTTAACGCCGACGATGAGGGGTTTCGATCGGAGGCCTTATGTACGGTTAATCTTTGGTTTTCGTTGGATATCTATTTGGTTGCTCTTTGTTATTCGGGTTGTCTTGGTGGATTTTGGGCTCATTTCGGGTTCGTCAGATTTCAATAATCTCAGTTTTGATTTGGAGGTTTTGGGTACAAGATGCAATTGGCTTAGTTTATGGGAAGAAGAGAAAGATCTGATTGTTTTTGAGATTGGAATAGGGTTATTACGGCTGTGTGTGGTTTCGGTAAAGGGATTGGATCCTCAGCCCAAGGTAGTTTCGAGCAGATACGGGTTCGATTTGGTGACTTTCCATGGCGATTTGCAGTGGAGATTGGTACATCAGAGATGTGTGGGGACATATCGGAAGGTTTCCGATTTAGTTTATACGGTGGTTTTGGGTTTTATATGGGGACTTTATGAGATGGTTTCGAAATCTCTCCGGTGGGTTTGTTTGAAAGAGAAGATTCAGTCTCTATGGCTAATTCAATTTCTGAATTCTTTTAGGGTCTACATCATGAGATGGATATTTTCCATAACGGTAGGGAGTGATTCTAAGACAGTGATTATATGGAACCAAGGGGTCAGTTGTTATGTGTTCTTAGATGTGGGTCTTGATTACAGATTGGTCAGAGTCAATTTTTTAGATCTTAAAGGTACCAATTTGTTTTACTCGGTGGTTTTAGGTTTTATATGGTGGCTATATGAGGTTGTTTCAAATTCCTTATGGTGGTCGTGGTTGACGGAGACGATTCGGTCATCATGGCAAAGTCAATTTCTGAACTTTCCGGGATTGACGAAGGAGGAGACAAGTCTATGTGCGCTTTGTGCTATGGTTTGGCTTAAAGCAAGGTGGGATTATAAAATTATCAAGACTGATCAGAGAGGAGTTTGTTTGAAATTCATTGAGGTTAGTGAGTCAAAACAAGGAGTTTTTTCAAGGTGTTTCTTCGGTGATATGAAAGGTTTGACTTTGATGAATCTGGATCAATTTCAAATCTGGCGTTTGGTTCCAGGGATGATGATGGTTTCTAATGGAACATGTTCTTGGAAAAATTGGGTTATCAATAGAAATAGTGAAGTCTCGAGGGTTAATGTTCGATCCTTGAGTAAAATGGAGAATAATATTTGGATCACATGGAAAGAGGGTGATTTTTTCCATTTGGAAATCAAGGTTTTGACTCAACGGCTAAAATCCCTCATGGATTTGCAATTCTGGGATGATGTAGTATCTGTGATTGAGAATAAAGCTTTCATACTTTTATTTTCAAATGATGGAGAATATTTGGTATATAAGTGGTACCTTGGAAAATTTACTTTTGGCGATTGGTTGTGGAGATTCGATAATGGAAAACACATGGATGCGATCACATATATAGGTAAGGAGGGAGAAACGGAAAAGGAGCATAAACAGAAAGGAATTTTGTTGCTTATGAGAATTTGTTCTAAGAAGCGAAATGTCAAAATGCTAAGGTCACCTCGCAAACGGAATGTACCAACGGGAGGAGAGCAAGGGAATGAAGGTCATAATGTGATGCACCATGGCACGGTAAAGGGTTTAACAGGTGGACGCAACCCACCTAAATTAAAGTTTATTAGATGAAAGTTTTGAGTTGGAATTGTCAAGGTCTCGGGAATAAGGCAACTATCGGGTATCTTCGGGATTTGTGGAAGCAACATCGGCCGGATTTTTTGTTCCTTACGGAAACAAAACAATCCTCTTTATTTATGGAAAAATTTGTTGGTCATTTTGGTTATAAAAATTTAAAAACGGTGGATCCTATTGGTTGTAGTGGCGGTTTAGCTCTTTATTTTAACAATGATTATCATGTTTCGGTTTTATTTGCAAGTAATCGTGTGATCGATATTGAAGCAAACTATAAGGGCAAAGTAATTTATCTCACTTTTGTTTATGGAGACCCGGTTCCTAGTAAGCGGGAACAAGTGTGGGAGCGGTTAACTAGAACCGGTTTATCTCGGGATTCTCCGTGGTTTTTAATTGGTGATTTTAACGAATTAACTGGAAATCATGAAAAGCGAGGGGGTAAATTAAGACACGCGTCTTCTTTTATTCCGTTTAATCTAATGATTCAAAATTGTGGTCTTCTGGAATTTCCTTATATCGGCGATTGGTTGTCTTGGCGGGGGTGGCGGGATAAAAAACCAATACGATGTCGTCTAGATCGGGCTCTAGCGAATGAAGATTGGCATGAATTATTCTGCAACACATTTGTAGAATATTTACAAATGGTAGCTTCTGATCATTCACCGGTCTTAGCTACGATTGCGGATAAGATGCCACGCGGGAAACATAGTTTCAGGTTTGACAAAAGGTGGATAGGGAAAGAAGGTTTACTGGAGACAATTGCAGATGGTTGGAATTTTGATTCTGAACCAGGCGACGGGAAATTTGTGGAAAAGTTGACTAATTGCCGGCGAGCTATTTCGCAATGGCGACGAGAGTTGACTCCCTATGGTCGGCAAACGATTGAAGATTTAAAATCGGAACTATATGCGGCGCAAAGAGATGATAGGCGATCACGGGAAGAAATTACGGATTTAACATTGCGGCTGAAAGAGGCCTATCGGGACGAGGAATTGTACTGGCACCAGAAAAGCAGAAGCTCTTTGATGCAATTAGGGGACAATAACTCAAAATATTTTCACGCTTTAACGAAGCAGAGACGGGCGAGGAATCGAATCACGGGTTTACATGATGAGAATGGGACATGGTCAACGGAAGATAAAGAGGTTCAAAATATAGCGGTTTCCTACTTTAAGACTTTATTCACTACAACAAAACCTGAGGTTTTTGAGGATGCGTTGGAAGAAGTACAAAGTCTGATCACGGATCAGATTAATGATTTTTTAATAGCCCCGGCAACAGAGGGTGAAGTGAGAGCAGCACTTTTTATGATGCACCCGGAGAAGGCACCGGGGCCAGATGGTATGACGGCTTTGTTTTTTCAGAAAGCATGGGCTACCATTAAAGTAGATCTTTTATGTTTGGTTAATTCTTTTTTAGAGGATGGGAATTTTGACAAACGGTTAAATACGACAAATATTTGTCTTATTCCAAAAACGGAAAGACCGACTCGGATGACGGAACTACGACCTATTAGTCTCTGCAATGTTGGTTACAAGATTATATCAAAGATTCTTTGCCAAAGACTAAGGACAGTACTACCAAAACTGATCTCGGAAACACAATCAGCTTTTGTAGAAGGACGGTTAATTTCGGATAACATTCTTATTGCACAAGAGATGTTCCATGGGTTACGAACTAACCCATCATGTAAAGGAAAATTCATGGCAATTAAAACTGACATGAGTAAGGCTTATGATAGAGTGGAATGGATTTTCGTTGAAAAAGTTTTAACCAAACTGGGGTTTTGTGAAAAATGGATTAGTTGGATAATGTGGTGTATCAGTACTGTCCAGTATAGGGTTCTTCTTAATGGACAACCTCGAGGACTAATAGTACCAGAGAGGGGTTTACGGCAAGGAGATCCGCTGTCTCCTTATCTATTTATTCTTTGTACTGAAGTATTAATTGCAAACATACGGAAAGCAGAACGGGATAAATTAATTACGGGTATCAAGGTGGCAACTGCAAGCCCATCGGTTTCTCACCTGCTTTTTGCGGATGATAGTCTATTTTTTTGTAAGGCTAACAAGGATCAGTGTGGGGTAATCTTGGGGATCTTAAAGCAATATGAAGCGGTCTCGGGACAACAAATAAATTATTCCAAATCTTCGATCCAGTTTGGGCATAAGGTAGATGACGGTGTGAAGGAAGATATCAAATCTACCTTAGGTATCACTAATATTGGTGGTATGGGTTCATATCTTGGGTTGCCAGAAAGTCTCGGTGGTTCAAAAACAAAAATTTTCTCTTTTGTTAGAGACAGGTTACAGACAAGGATTAACGGATGGTCGGCAAAATTTTTATCAAAAGGTGGGAAAGAAGTGATGATTAAATCGGTAGCTGCGGCATTACCAACTTATGTTATGTCGTGCTTCAGACTACCGAAAACAATCACTTCTAAACTCACTAGTGCGGTTGCTAATTTCTGGTGGAGCTCGAATGGTGCCTCCAGAGGTATGCATTGGATGGCTTGGGATAAATTATGTATTAATAAATCGGAAGGAGGGATAGGATTTCGAAACGTCGATGATTTTAATTCGGCCTTACTTGCAAAACAGTTGTGGCGGTTGATCACGGTTCCGGATTCTCTCTTTGCGAGGGTTTTTAAAGGGCGGTATTATAGGAAATCCAATCCTTTGGAAAATATAAAGTCATATTCCCCATCGTATGGGTGGCGGAGTATATGCTCAGCTAGATCTCTGGTTAATAAAGGACTTATTAAAAGAGTCGGATCTGGGAATTCCATCTCAGTTTGGGAGGATCCGTGGATTCCAGCTCAATTCCCGAGACCAGCAAAAAGTAATGGATCTATTAATGACCCATCTTTAAAAGTTAACATGCTTATAGATAGTCGATCTAATTTTTGGGACATTGATCTCCTCAAAGCGGTCTTTGACCAGGAAGATGTCGAGTTAATAAGTGCTCTACCGGTGGGTGCGCCAACCAAGGAGGACACCTTGGGTTGGCATTTTACAAAATCCGGCAAATATTCAGTTAAGTCGGGGTATCATACCGCACGGATGGATAAGTTGGAGACCAACTCATCTTTCATTGGGCCAGATTTCATTAAGTTAAAGGCTCATACTTGGAAAGTACAGTGTCCACCTAGGATACGTCATTTTTTATGGCAAATCTTAACGGGTTGTGTACCGGTTACAGAGAACTTACGAAAAAGAGGAATTGATTGTGACACTGGTTGTGCCAGATGTGGTGCACTGGAGGAAACAGTCAATCACACACTCTTTCAGTGCCATCCAGCAAGACAGGTTTGGGCACTTTCTCAGATTCCTACGGTTATGGGGACTTTTCCCACAGATTCTATTTTTGCAAACTTGGATCATTTATTTTGGAGAATACCATCGGAGTTTGATTCTATAGCTTTTCCTTGGATTATTTGGTATATTTGGAAAGCACGGAATGAAAAATTGTTTGAAAATGTGGATAACGATCCGTTAGGGGTTTTACGGTTAGCGGAAAGAGAGGCACAATTGTGGCACTCAGCTCAAGTGGAGCTTCATACTGAAACTCAGGCTTCAGTGGAATTTCCAAATCGGCCTCAAACGAGGGGGGTGTCCCTAGATTCGGACTTTACAGGATACCGTTGTTTTGTGGATGGATCCTGGAAAGACAGCGACAAGTTTTCCGGGATAGGGTGGTTTTGTACACCATCAAACGGTGAGCCATCCACAATGGGAGCAGCCAACCTCCGTAGAAGCCTATCTCCGCTACATGCCGAATTCGAGGCCCTCCTTTGGGCGATGAAGTGTATGATTGGTGCAGATAATCAAGAGGTAGCATTCCTTACAGACTGTTCTGACCTGGTGAAGATGGTGTCTTCCCCAACCGAATGGCCGGCCTTCTCAGTGTATCTGGAGGAATTTCAGAGCGACAAGGAAGAGTTCTCTACCTTCTCTTTATCTTTAATTTCTCGTTGTGCAAATGTAAAAGCGGATAATCTGGCACGAAAAGTTCGTACGGAACCGCTTCATATCACTTATGTAAACAACATTCCACAAGAATGGCTCTTTTGAGCACTATTTAATTACGGATGACAAAAAAAAAAAAAAAAAGTATATAAAAAAATATAAAAATAAAAATATAGTAATATAAGATAAACAAAAAGTGTATGTTTTTAATTATTAATGGGATATATGGATGTATGAGACTAATGGCAAATTCTGTAAATAGTCTAATAAATCTTGGGTAATTATCTAAATAGAAACCAAATCATTGTGAGAGCGACACATCAGCGTGACAATCTTGTTAATAACACATGATGGTAAGGTTTTTTAAAAAAAATGTTTCTCTATTAATATATAGGGGATATATTTAACCCAAATACTTATTATATAACTATTGAACTTATAGATTTTGTTTATATAACAATGTTAATCTTGCTACTTTATTGATTATTGCATTTTTCAAAAGACAAATGACTTTGTGCGTCTCATTCATGATTCATTATAGCAATTTTTAGAAGACCGATGGTTTTGTCGTGTATATACATTAACCATTTAATTGGCTTTTCCTATACTAATGAAGTTTTATAAGACTACACGTAATGACTACTTATACAAAGACAAATTCATAAGGCGGAACAAAGGTGGAGACACGA